AAAGGATACAATTGCTTTTCCGAGATGGTTCAAACATTGTCAGTGTTGAACATCATCCTTTACTCTAATAAAGTTTCCTAAATAGTTCTGATCATCTGATTCTAGTTGTTGTCCATTCCTCTTCGCATCCTCTCACTCATGTCTAGCTTATAAGATATGCATCGAGGGAACTCAAGCATTATAAGAAGTAGTTCATTATAAGAGAAGTAATGGTTCAAAGTGTACAATAACATGATATATAAGGAATATAGAATAGTAGGGATGTCAAATTACTCAAGCTTAAGGAGGTATAAGCTAGACGGGTTAACAAATGGTGAACATGTGATGGATAAAAGAAAGTCCCACCGACCGGAGATAAGGGACACAGTAGTGAACGGTCGCCCCGTTAGGCTACCCCGAGCCTAGACTGCTTAGAATCGGTACATCAGTTCATTACAGTTCAGAGAGATCATATGTATATTCTGTTGTTAGATTAAATTGGTAAAGAAAAGGAGTCCGAGGGCTACTATGAAGGACGCGAATAATAGAACTAAGATAGTAATCCAAACAATATTCAAAACTTTGAGCCACTATAAGTATATTTTTATCATAGCGTTTAATAATTTTAAAGTTACCTTCGATTGATGCAGCTCCCTCTCCGCCACATTGGTTGGCGGTAATTTTTGTTCTAACTCTCAAAAATTTGGATAATCAAACTGAAGAAGAAGAATGACTAACCAACATCATGGAATAACTCATCATTGAAAACGGAAATATTGACAGATCCACTTTCCACCGAATAAAATATGTTCGAGCTACTGTCCTCCGGTAGAGGAGGTGCAGACGGTTCCACAGCTCTGGCGGAAGACATTGAAATGGAGCAAAGTTTATGACTAGTATTATCGTGAGACCGCTGAGAATACAAAAAGATAAACTAAGCTGTTGTTGTCTGATAAAATGTATTTTCAGAGGAAGTAATGAAAGTTTTCTAAAAAAAGGGTTCTCATTAATTGATTGCTGGTAATAAGGGTAAGGGGACTGTGCAAAGTGTATCAACAAGAGCTTACCTCTAAAGATAATTGGAGGAAAAGCGTTGAAGGAATTAATATTTCAAAGCTGCACTTATTCTTGAACAACTCGATGGTTGGCATAAGCTGAGAGGATTAAGGGGATAAGAACTACTTTCTCTCATACCAATATTAACCTTAAGGAGTTGCCTACTATCCGGAACACGCCTGAGCTTTTCCTCCATTCTCACGTAACACCCACGGGAAATTTCATTGTCGTCATATAATATCTTGTTGAGCGGTCGTGTATGATAGTGATCGAACTGAATGAGTCAAATATATTTTTTGAAAATAAAATTTTTCTCTTTTAGACTTAAGAAAGCAAAAGAAAATAAGAACATTAAAATGCGTTAGTATTTATATTAAACAAATTGTTGTTTTAAACAACAACATCCCCAATTGGATGTTTTATTGCGATCTTGACGACGTCAAGAGTCAGGCAAATCTGACAAATGACCATTTGGGGGCTAAAAGAGGAAACACAGTTGAAAAATGAATTTCACAAAGAAGAATATATTCTTATGTGTATTACAAATAACGTTACTAGCATTCCTTGAAAACAATTTATGCGAAATATCATTGCACAAACATAGTTTATGCATTATACCATATACAAACTATTTCCACATAGCTTAAACTGAAATACCTCAAACCAATATTTCCTTTTCCTTACTCCCTTCATTCCAATCTACCTCTATACCTCTTGTTTGTTATTATTTGTTATGCAAAAACGATTGTCGACGTCAGTTCTGAAATCTCAGGTGAGCCTTTGATTTTCAGCTGATATCTCTCTTCTCTCTCAATAGTTTCGTTGTGCATCAGGGGTACTGTTCTATCCAATACCCTGTCCATCTCTCTATCTTTCTCTTCATTCAACTTCATTCTCATCTCCAGTTCTCTCTATCTCATTCCTATCTATCTCATTCTTCTGATTCTTTTCTAAAACCTAACCAGTAAATCATACAAATCATCGTCAAACTCTATTTTTCGTTATTCTGGTACAGATTATGGTGATTAGCCAGAATCATTTTCTCTTTCTGTCTTAATTTACATATATTTACCTTTTACGTAGTCATACTGACGTCACAACCATGTAAAACATATTCAATTCACAAAAGTTATCATCTTCAATCACCTGTCAGTCGAACATTCAAATGTCCATATGCTGCAGTTTTCCATATTCCTCTCTGTATTTTTTTTATTTTTGAAAAGAGAAGGTACAGAGCGAGCCATCATTCAATTAGCCGAATCATTTGTTTATTTTTATGAAATTCTGATTGGTTCGTGTGCACGACGTTCATCTTCTGTTTCAGAGCTTGTGCTTTCTCTCCCCCCTCTCATCATGCCTCGACGTTTCTCATTTCGCTGAACACCTTCTCATCATTAATAAAGAATCCTGCTTTTTCTATATAATTTATTTTTTATTTTTAGTAGTTGCAACCAATTTCTATTATCTTCTAAGCTTTTAATGCTTCTCCTTCAGCTTTATCTCAGCTATAAAGCCTCTCAAACTCATTATGAGCTGTGATTTCAGCAGTTGATTTCAAGTACTTTTCCATCCTTTCTTCTCAAACGTTTAATAACTTATAAGCTTCTCCAAGACGCTGCTCTCTACTTCTGTATAGCCAGTAAGAGTGTGAGAAGAAAAGAAAAAGAAAAACTGTTAAGCAAATGTGAATATTCATATTCAGATGGCATTAACTATCTGACGACGTCGCTCTCACAGCCCCGAGGGTCGAAGTCGTTGAGACCCAATGGTTTTGTGTGTTTACAGCCTTCCATCTCTTGATAAGAATGTCTTTCATCTTGCCGACTTAATGCCCATTGCAATTCCCTTCATGTTCTTTTTCAAAATTTCATTTCTTTTTTACTTTTATAATTCATGTGTTTAAAGAATTCGCTCATTGATTTCATATTCTATTGAACTGTTTTTCTCCCCAAAACCATATTCCCATACTGCAGTCAAAGTTTCTACTAATTACTTGTATTTTCGCTTTCTCCTTCCCCTCTCTCCCTCTCTCTATTTTTATCACTGATTCCCTCTTTCTCTCTCTCTACATATATGCCTCTCTTACCTCTAATAATTATCTTTTATGTCTTCTTTTCTGTTTCCCCTCTTTCTCTGTGTATAAGTTGACGAGGCCCACCACTTTCTCTTTTATAATTAGCCTCAACAGATCATTTTCTGTACTACTTGATGTGATGCTCCTGCACACACTCCCTACAGCCTTGTTAACAACTTCACTATCAGTCTTATCGATTTGACCTCAAATAATCCTGCCAATTTTAACACCTAAAACAACCTGTAACCATCACCAAACAAAGAAAAAGGTTTTTCATATCAACAGCTTGACCCACATGTTCTCATAAAAATCCTTAAAACCAACACATAAACAGATTATTTCAAAGCAATTAAAGAAAAAACCAGGATGATGTACGCAACACAAGAAAGAAAAGTATAGATCTTAATTTATCAGATTGCTATGTATTTCCCATATGACACCATAACTAAGATGTTGTACGTACCACAAGAAACATAAGGACATGTGTTAATCTGTCTTAATTCAAAAGATTTTTTTTTTTTTACTAAATAACTAGTATCATGTACCCATCACAAGAAACATAAGGATACATCTTAACCTAAATGATTGCTCAATATCTGCTATATTAAGAAATAACTAGGATGATGTACCCAACACAAGAAAGATAATAGATCTTATTCTGCCTTAATAGTTAATTCCAGAAATCTCCCTGATCTTTAATATGAATAACTAAGATGTTGTACGCACCACAAGAATCACGTCTATAGATGATAACTTACCTTGTTAATCCCTTCGTTCCATTTTGGCAAAATTAAATTATTCTAATCATAAAATACGGGAAAAGCTCTGTACTTTAGCAGTGTTTGTTGCCCACTCTGAGCAATAAAATTATCATTTTTATTTATTATTTGATATCGATTTAACATTTTTTTCATTCAATCATCGAACATTAGACAGAGAATCAGATAGAGAGAGAGAGAGAGAGAGAGAGAGACAATGAAAGAAAAAATTAAAACATTTTCTTTCAAATTTATTGATGAAGCTTATCAAATCATCCTTCTATCATACATATAATTACAATTTTCCATATATAGTTATGAGCTTTTATTATTTATTTTGTTCTTCTTCAGATTCTCATCGTTTTATTCTCCGCCCTCTCCCCTCCCCTCTTCTACATTTCAATTCTCATTTGACTCTCTCTCTCTCTCTCTCTCTCTCTCTCTCTCTCTGTTTCAAGATTTTCTCTCTTTTTATCTAAAATTCCTTTTCAAGAACAGCTCATCTCTTGCTTTTTCAGCTTCTCCTTCTGCTACTTCCGGTCAGCTGGAGCTCAAAAAGAAAAAGCACAAAAACAGTTCTTCCACCCATTGTATTCATCGATTCAATTGAATAACAACAGGTAATTATCATTTTATACATTTTGCTTCATAATTGCTCAAAGTCTTCTCTCTCATTCTCTCTTCACGCATACCAGCAGGTGTGTTTTGCTGAAGAAAAAAAAGACAAAATTAGTCCAATGTCATTAACTGTCTTTGCTACTCTATTCGTCTCATCCTCTTCATATTGCTTGCTCTATGTCATTCTCTCCTTCTTTTTTTGTGCCTCAATCATATTTTTTTCTCTTTTTCTCTCCATTAAGTTTCGAGCGAATATCTTCTTCATACCGTTTTTTTGCACCTAAATAGCCACATTCATCAAAGGACGCCGACAAATTTTGAACTTCTTTTAAAGATTCAATGAAGCATCTTCAATCAACTGTGTCCTTGCTGGCACTATTTCATCTGATCCGCGTTTTGACAAAAAAAAACACTTTGTCACTTAAGAGTTTCACAAAAAAATTTAATTTTCTTGATGATGTTTCACATTTCGATCAGATTGATAGATGCGCATTGAGAATATGGATGTTCCTAGCTGATTTCATGATCGATCTTCAAGTATGTTGTTCTTCAACTCATAACTCATGCTTCACCTTCATTCTCTCTCTCTCTCTCACTTCATCTCACAATGTCTTTCTATTAGTCTCAACTTATAAACTTCTTACTTTCACTCTCTCTCTGTTTCCCTTTAAGGGTCTCTCTTCTCTCACCATCTCTATTATTCTTCTCTCTATCTTTTCAAATGATTTGTCTCTTTATAATAAAATCATTAAATGTTCGTCATGATAATTTTTATGGACCCAAATTAAACAGTAAGAAAACGGTTTTCCAATGAGAATATCTATTATACCATATAAATAAGATTGCTTCAGAGCCAAATAACGAGAGTTAGAGTGAGAGGCAGTGTGAGAGAGAGGGAGAGAGAAAGAGATAATTAAAATAAATAAATTATTATTTTTCTTAAAACAGTCTTCTTCACTAAATGAAGGAAATAAGAGGTCATTCAAATTTCCTTTTCTTCAAGCTTCTTTGCCTCTTCCTCCATCTTCATCATCGTCGTCTCATCCTTCTTCTTCTTCTTCTCCTCCTTTTTCTTCTTCTCATTCTTCTTCTCTTCTGTATGGGATGATAGAAAAATAGAAAGAAGGAAATTAACAGATTTTCCATTCGGATAAGACAATCCGAACAACAACAATGCGGGAATAGCTTGTGAATGACGACAGTAGAAGGTGCTGACGAATTCTTTTGTTCAGCGTACCGAAAAAAAAGTTTTTTTTTCTACCTTGTACTCCATTGTTAAACATATTGAGATAGTAGGAAGGCGACTGCACTTTCTGTATCTATTTCTTCATATGTGAGTTGAAACCTCACAACTCTTCATTCTCCGACATTCATATATTTGGAATTGCAAAAACGAAGTATCAAAGATTGCTAGTGATCGGCAAGTATTCTTAAGAGATTTCAATCAGAATGTATTTGATGATGAAAAAAAAACAAAACAAAAATCAAATCATCTGAGACGAACGATATTTAATTTCTTAATTTATCTTGTGTGGCTATCTAGAAACTGCCTAACTTTTCCGAGTATGTTGTTTCATATAATCAGATCGGATCTATTTCAAATCTAAAAACATCTAGTATTGCTCATCTTTTGTTGACAAGAGCTCAAGAAGAGAAGTGCGACAAGCTCATATAAGATATGATGAAGAAAGAGAGTAGAGAGTGTCAAGAAAGTTGATCGGTTATGTCAATTACATGTATCGTCGGCTTATATGGTTATATAAGGTCATCGATATGCTAACGGTATTATAGTATATGAGCTCCATTATCTAAATCAATTATCTCATCTTCATCGTATCCAAGAAAAAGTTTTGGTTTATTAATTTTCAACGCTTAGAATGAATGTTTAAAACTCACAGCGAGACATCTCTATTCGCTTCCCATTCATGCATTGATGATTCCCTTGTCATCATATTAGCATATTCAAAATGATAACACGTGAGTCTCTCCCGTGAGCATTATGCATCTCACATGTTCTTTATTTTCATTTATTGTAACTACAGCAAGCGGTTGCATTCTGTTTTTCAATTCATTCTCTCTTGCAAATCCCCCTTCTATTTTCATTTTTTTTCTTCTCCATCAAAATCGGTTTAGGTTATTATTATTATTCCTTGCTTATTACATAATGTAATAAATCATATTGTTATGCTTCGAGCAAAATCAGATTGTAGAAGTCTTACCATATATCTCATTGTATACAACTTACATATTTGTGAACTGTAGAGAGAGAATTGTCTAGCCTGTTCATATTCTCATGCGAAACATGAATATGATTGTTGGCTGTTCTCCTTCTTCCCACCTTAGATGTATTGAGTTTACAAAGTATATGTTCATAATGTTATACTATTAATATAACTCACTTAAAATTTCTGATTTTCATTTCTTCTTTCTTCTTGGCTCTCGTAGCCCCGTATATCATTTTTATGCGTCCGTCCGATCGTCTCGACGCCGACACCATCGGCTCCGCCCATTTGGCCGTCTTCTCCTTCTTTTCCTCCCCGTTGCAACCGCCGCATTCAAACCCCAAGCACTTTGCGCTCAGAGAGTTTGAGTTATTAGAGAATTTATATTACCTTCTCTCATGTTACCTATATGCTTTCTCTTTGTTTCTTTTTTTTTTGAATCCGTTTTAGCCTTATAAATATATATTACAGAGATGTTCTAAGGATGTGGTCTAATTGTTCAGCGTATTTCTCAGTCACTGTTTTACTTTTGTTGAATACTGCTGTCGCTAGGCCAGCCGATCGCATACATACATCTGATCAAGTCGATTTAGTTGTATCAGCATCATCTACTCATCATGATCCTTTGGCATCATCAACATCTTCTGAATCAGAAGCATCAGAACCATATCAACGGTTATACGGAACATTCTCACCTGCTGGTTTCAATTATGAAACTCAAGGCAATATAGTTCAGGTATGTATCATTATCTATATTAATTGAAGTTTGAAATTCTTATAACTACATTCATCCATAAACATTATTCGAACAATGAGAGACAGCTGAAGATGATGAGATCATTAGCTTTAAATCCATCTGTGTTTTCTCTCTTCTTATACGTAATTCAATTTTATTTTTCTATTGACCATTTCTTTAATTTTACGGTTTTACTTCGAACGTTACTATATCCAACTTGCTCATCACAATGAAACTCTTCTAGGGAAGTATCTTTCTATTCTCCATATACGTTCCATTTCTTTTCGTTAGCACTAGCCGATGCTGTGTTGTGTTTCATTCCATTTCTATATGCATTAGCTTAAATGTAATTACCTTCTCAAAAAAATGCTAACACCTCTCTTTCTTTTTCTCTTTCGGTATTAGCAAAATTGGAAAAAAAAAGAAAAATCCATCTAAATCTGTCTTGTCACAAGCTTGCTCACTAATCTGGAACGTCTGGCTGTTAATGCCCAGCCGCCTGACCTTATAGCCAGAAAAACTGTATCCGGCTGTTCACCTGTTGTATAAGCCAGAGATTCTATATTGTTCCATCCCTTTCCCATTTCTCAGACCTTTTTTTGTCTTTATGACTCTTCCATATCATCATAGATTATAATTTTTCATATATAATATTTGGGACTGTTAAACGTAAACAGCTGTAACGTTCCTTCGCACACGAAACAGATGTTGATTCTTTTGAAAGAACAAATTTTTCAAAAAGCTTTTTCCTAATTCAATCTTTAGCTTCATCCCATTAACATTTCAAATTGACTTGGTTTCATTTTCGAATTTCAAATTTTCAAATTATTTTTGTGCCAATTATCGTCGTTATTAAGTTATGCGAAGACAGTTTAGCACATACTTTATTAACGCAACATACATTTGCAAATTTGAAATTGTTTTTTCTATACATAGCCTATAGAGGGAACTTGGCGGTAGCTCAAGGAGTTATTGTTTAGCAGTGTAGCAATAAAAATTAGCATTAGAGCAGCGTGAGTAATTGACTATCATTTTTATCAAATTGGCAGCCATCACACTTTCCCAGCTAATCTCTCAACATATGTTTCTAAATATATCTGAAAACGTTTTATATTCTCAGATTTCTTCACTTCACTGAGAAAAAAAACATTTATCACAATATTTATTCCTCAATTATTCATTAGTGACAAAGGAATCTGTCTCTGTCCTCGTCCTGCTGTTTTGCCATTTGACAATTTTTCTGTTTGGGCAGTCAGTGTGTTAGTTCATTAAGCGCATGTACTTCAGACAAATACCAAAATACTTATATGGAGTAAATTATGTTATATTTAATCAGATGATATTTAATTATATAATAAGAAACTGATTAAATGACATTTGTGCTCATGTTCACATGTCCTTCTGCTCCAACAAAAGCTTTCGTATTGTGGTCTGCGCATGAATATACTTATGACTAATTGATTCATTCAATCTTCTCTTTCAACTTGAGAAGAAGAAGATGAAAATTTCTTTTTTGAATGGATTTCATTTCTTTAGTTTTTGGGTATATTCTAAAACTACGACAGCATGCGAGCCAACCGCAAAGGATTCATAACCTTTACGCGTCTATCTGATATATCTCATACAAGTTATGAAAAGAGTACTGGAGATGACTCAAATTCTCATCCCAGACGTGAATGAGATGAAATGTTGCAAATGGAATGCCCTGAGGGTACGCTCTGCGTATGCCTAAGTGGCCACCCATTCCGGCATCCAAAAAGAAAATGCCGAGCTTGTTCGTCTTTTGCGGTATTCCCAGGAGCATCATTCAACAAGTTACATCTCAAGCAAACATTTAACTTTGTCGTCGGTCAATATGCCTCAGCTCTTTCTATTCATCATTTTCGTAGCCGCTTTTTATATTCGGCTGAGCTAGAATGGACAGTGCGTGGCACATATAGCCCCACTCAAGCTTTCATACTCATTCCAACACAGCTCTGAAGCACATGGACATCTTTAGACGTTATAACGTCATGCAAAAAGTTTTCGTGTGGTCAGGAAAGCTGATTAGCTCAGTTGGTCGTCGGATATTTTACGCAACGTCTCAAGTTAACCAAATAAAGTTGTCCAATATGTTTCAGTCGCAAAGCTCAAAGTTGGCAACATTTGGGTAGTACAAACCTCCCGTTTTTCTTCTTTCTTCTTTTCAACAAGTCTATCGTTAAGTATATTTCTTTCTGTTTTCTTTTCATAGTTTTCCTTCATTTTCTCCATCTGAAGCTAGCTACTAGCTCCTAATGGCATCTCCCAATTGAATTAAGCTCTATTTCAATGGCGACCACACACTGAACGATTTCAATGGAAAACGAAAAGAAAAGACAAAACGAAAAGTGATCGTAGTACTAAGAGTTATCTTGAAACATTGGGAAAAAAAGGAACCATTTTTTATCTGAATAAGGTGGATGTAGGCATGATCATCGTATATACCGGTAAGCTGTCGCTACACGTCAGCTTGCTCGTTACAGTAGACAACCATAAACAATAAATTCAATAGGCATGACCATTTAAGACATCTGTATTCACCTGAATCCACCTGTCATCGCCACATTAGGTTTTTATTGTTTTTTTCTTCTCCCTATGCTTATAAGAGTTATAAACATAAATTAGAAAGAATGAGGGTGATTAAGCTTGGTGACCTCATGTTGTCTACATTAATACCTTTTTCATTGGATAACCAGAATATGAATGATGAAGTACGGCGAAAACAAAAGGTAATCTATCAAAAGAGATTATGCCTCTTGATGATCTAGACATATTTTTTCAACTTGAAAGAAGATTAATCCAAGTATTCGATTAGCTGTTGAGCAGACTAAGCGCTCAAAGGATATTCTCATCTTCTTATGTAATTATCTTTTTGCAAATTTGTCCGCATAAAGATGACAAAAAATAACAAACAAAAACGAAAAGTAGCAACGAAGACATCTGAAAGTCATTGAATTCCAAATACGGAGCTCATTTATCGTTGATGTGTATGTGTGTAAGTGTGTGTGTGTGTGCAGAAACTAAATGTTAAATGATCGACTAAGTCGAAGCTTCGCAATCAAAAACCCTTCTTGCACCAGTAGGACTGATTGACGTTATCACTTCACATAAATTAGTGTCATTAAGAGGATTTTTCTTCTCTCCCATCGCGATATTGATGAAATAACAAATTATTCTTCAAATTAATTTGTTGAATAGGAAAATATATGTAGATAGTGATCAGACTTCTGATGAAGTTTTCTCTGAGTTGGATTAGATTTGGGTTTTTTTTTGTTGCAATGCAATAATACATAGTTCTTCGGCAGGAACCTTTCAAATAGTAATTCAGCGTATTTGATGGTTTCAGACTGAAAACACATGTTGTTAAGTAGAAAAACTCTTTGATTTTCTCATTTCCGACAGACATTTTTCTTATTTATGTGTTTTTGTACTGCTTACGGATAACCTATCGCAGAAGCTTTATTGCACTTTACACCTTGTAATTTTCGCAATTTGAATGAGCTAATCAAAAGAAATTGAAGATAAGGTAGCTGATGGATAGAGAGAGAGGAAGAGAGAAAGAGAGAATGAAGAGAAAAGAGAATAAGAGAAATGGAATATTAGAGAAATACGGAGAGTTAGTCTGAAAGCGAATGGTAATGACCAAGGACATCTGCGTTCTTGTCTCTGCTGCGATTTATGGCACCGTTGTCGTCGTGGTGCTGGTGATGATGTTGAGTGCAATGTATCGAAGAAGTCAATGCACTATCGTATTGAATACGGGGACTGATTTCATCAAATCCACAAAAAAATCATGATCCAAAGTTGAAATTTTGGGAAATTCTACCATATATCTAAAATTTAAAAATTATCAACATTAGTGTCGATTGCCTTACAACTGATGTTTCACCATAGCCGTTATAATCTGTTCTTTGAAATATTATCCGATCAGATGATGTTCTCTTACTATATATGGTTGATGTACAAGCCTGTCGTATATTATCGTAATCCGTCGTGCTTACTGGTATAAGAGACTAATTCCAGCTCACAGGCATATCTTTTCTTCTCTTTCATTGGTCTCTCTCTATCTTTCTATCTCTCTAACCCTTTAGTAGTTTTTATTGTTCTTCGTTTGGCTCTCTCGATCTCCTAAAAATTTCTTGAATGATATACGCAGATGTGTCTCTGTCGGCTTCTTTCATATCGTATTCAAGACACAACAGGACTAAGTTTTACGACAGCCTTAATGATTTGGCTTTGTTGACGATTGTCAGCCATCATATGATAAATACAGTACTCTTACATAGATATTAGATTAATGAAATGATCTATACACCGTTTGAGTTAAAAGATCTTGCACCCATCGTGCATGATTTTATTTTCTCAGAGTTCAACTACGGCCTTCTAGCACGACCCAATTCTTGCATCGTGAACTCATAAATAATCGTCAGCGCGTAGCATATGCTTTCAAAATATTATAAATAACCTTAATTTCTTTATGTCAACCACATTTGCATGTGAGTAGCACGTCAAACTCTTACGTGGAAGAGGAGTTTTCATTTTGAACCAATTAAAACGCGAAGAGCGGTTGACTATCACAAAAGCTTAATCTTAAAATAATCTTTCTGACTTTTTGAGAAATTTAATTAATGAAGTTTACACATCATACTTCTTTCTCCATCTTTTTTTTCTTCTCACCCTCTTTCTCTCTCTTTTTTTCTTCCTCTCTCTTCTGCTTGATAGTTTTGCGAGCTATGTGACGAGCGAATACTCCAAGTATCGGAGCGTATTGCGGCGACATCAAAGACATGCGTTGAATGAGCGTTATTTATGGTAGTTTGTGTGGCCTCTCTGATGCTGCTGGCTAAAAAGGATTTTTATGCATTTAAAGGGAGATAGTTGTATTATTTCTAATATTCTTGACAAATGATTGAGAAAAGAAGCATTTATGGGAATTAAAATGAGAATTGCAGGTTTCATCGTTTCGTGCATGCGATGCTCGCCGGAAAGGCCTTGATCGCACCTTATTTGGACATGTAGCTGTTATATTTGTAGATGAAGTACAACCTTTCTTAACGGGATGCGTTGCATTAGATAATCAGGTACGAGCAGTATGATCTTGATGCTGTGATCATAATCCTCTCCATTTCAGGCTCGTTTCGCTGAAAAGTCAGGAGCCCTTGCTTTAGTTGTAGGACCCGCTTCCAGGGTTCAGATGAGCTTGAAGCCACTAAAAGTACAGTTTGATTCAGAAGGATGTCCAAATAATCGAAAATGTTTTCAGCTTCGATCTGCTAAAATTCCTGTTGTTGTACTGGATGATCAGGAGACAGAAAGTTTACGCAAATACGTGGCAGACGTTGCTCAAGTAGGAAAGATAGCTTCAATTAGTTTACAATATGTTGAACCAAAAATAGGAACAACTCAAGTATTAAAACTACAGGTAAAGACATCTAGTGCATAGCTGTCAACTGAGTTTTTGTGCTTCAGGTCTTTCGGCCAACGGCTTTAAACTTGGCTGTTATCGGTCTTTTAATTATCCTCGTTCTGTTCATTACGGTTCTGGTCTTTGTTAAAATCCGATGGAGACCAACGGCTCATCGTGATATATGGCTGAGAACATTAGCACGATCGGCTGTGAACAAGATGGAAATAAGAAAAGTTGAAAAGGTATTCATTTTGATTCTAATACAGACCGTTTATCTCTCTTATCAAGGGTTCCGTGAATCGTAAGAAACGTACCTTCTCGAGATTATCGAAAGCTAATGGACTATCTTATCTACCCGTATTTGGGTCGTTAAGTTCTGTGGCTAACACTACTAATAGTCAGGTAAGGACATTCTTTAACTTCTCCTTCATCAGTTATCTTTTTTGCAGGATCGTTGTGCTATCTGTCTTGATGAATACTGTGACGGAGCAGAGCTACGTGTTCTGTTCTGTGGACATGAATTCCATCCCAAGTGTGTTGATCCTTGGTTACTGGCTAATAGACGTTGTCCATTGTGCCAATATGATGTAGTATATAAGCAATATCCCAAAACTGATGATCCTCCAACGTCTTCGTCAGCCAACAAACCTCAACCATCACCTCCAACATCATCGCTCACTACTGCTTCTAATAGAGCTTTGGCTGAACTAAGAGAGCCATTGCTGTCTTCAACTGAGCCATCTACTCCATCAATCCCTATCATAACATTTCCGTTGTTAGGATCAGTTGTTCTTAGAGATCAGGCTCCGCCGTCAGTGCCAGCACAAAGGCATCGTCGGTCAGCTGCGAACTCTCGGGCACGATCGTTACCTCGTAGACGTCCATTGCGTCCTCGAAGTTTATTAGAAACAGCAGTACGAGTCGGAGGGTAAGCGCTATACATACCATGAAACTATAATAAGCTTCTTCAATTTCAGATATTCATCAGATGTATCGTCATATTTGGAAAGGGATAATGGACCTCAAATAATTTTGTGATCATATAACATCCGGCTTCAATCATTTTCATCTTTCTAGTAACCGGTGCTTAGTTATCAGTATTTCTATTACGGGTTAAATCGAATTATCAAATACCAACATCGTTATCTAATATAATTTATCTTAATGTATCTGTATTCATTCGTTGTCTCATCCTTCCCCCCTCTGCTCCATTACCAAAATTCAAAAAAGTAGTCGCCAAATGTATACGGGTGTTGACTTGTCGTTATGTTACTTATAACATCCTAATATATATATATATATTGTGAATCTATACTGATTCCCTTGTATAATTATGAAAGCAGCCTCCTCTCTCTCCTTCTACGAGGGGAAGTTGTAATGGTATTCAAGTTGCTCATACTTATCTGTACATAACATTTGACATTTCAATGAATTTTTTAATTTTCAAATACTTTGAGATGAAAAAAAAACATTTACAGCTTTACATACATTCAATAATAATAATAATCAAGCATATACTTTGTACAAGCAAAAAAAAATAAAAAAGTGCGTTAACAACATGATTGGTTAGCAATGCTGTCGGTTAGTTCGTTAATGATCTGTATGTTGAGTGAAACCAATCCTGTACATCTTGGAAAGCCTGAAATGTTGTTAATTATTCATTCAACTCTATATTTAACCAGTTTCTCAAGAATTACAAATGATTCATATATGTTTACCTGATCAGCTCCCCATTCCTTTGCTTTACGAGCAATAGTTTCTTTGAATTTTTTCCATAATTCCTTAATTTTGTGAAGTCCACTGCATTTGAAATCGCATTCCTGAATGATAATGAGTTAGCAAACAGATATGATGCATGAATTACTTTCTCGATTGATGCACAATCGAATGGAACGTCTTTGCCACAATCACTGTTTATAACAAAATCTTTCTTATACATATCCAATTGAGAGCAATTGAACGAGGGATTGCCTTCCACATCAATTGCCTGCAAATGATGATTAAGTTGTTTATGTTATTAACAAACAATTGCAATACTTTAACATCTGGGAAGAATGCTTGCAAAATCTCTGGAGTCGGTAAATTGACGATATTGTTGCATGGAAGAGCTGAAATTGAATAGTTGACAGGAAAAAAAACATTTTTAAACACAATGAATAGAAGAGAGAAAACATGTATTTGCTACATTCGCACATGTTCACCCTCCTTTTTGGTTTGCAGTGACATACCGAGAATTTCGAATCCTCCAACAGCTCGTTTAGGAATATTAACTTCAGTTCTATCTCCAGCTTCACATCTAATGAGAGGGTTGCTTTCACTTAACTCACAAATGCAATCATCCAGACATGTAACTGATGGAATACCAGCGGCATCTGAAAGAAAAGATTATTTAAAGCTTTCTATATCGAATTTTCAATAATCAGTCTGACACAAAATGCTTTTCTTCTTAAAGAATTCACAGAACTCAAAATACTGACTGTATAGAAGCTACTGGTTATGTATTTATGCGATTGAATCTGTTGTAGCATTTCAACATGTTTAAAGCTATCTAATAAACATTCGAAACAATCGACAACAGACGGAGCAAACTATAGCCAGATGGTCATTGAGAGATTTCAAGTGAATCACTTCGATGATAATCTAGACAACGATTGTGTTAAGACAGGAATGATATCTCGAAGAATATGAAGAAATCGATCAGCGAAATGAAATCAGATCATACACGCAAAAAGCTATTATGGACTGGAAGATTCATGAAAGATACGCTGATCGTTGAAGTGTTGTAATGAGCAAACAGAAAAAATTGACAAAAAACCGGCTCAGACCGGCAATTAGCAAAATGAATCATCCATGACAAAATTATCTGCCTTAAGCTCGATACAATCACTTGATTCATAGCGTTAATGATTGGTTAGAGAAAAAATCATTTGAACATCGTGTGACCTTTCAGTTTTATCAAATGATTCGTAGTTTTAGCATTTTAGCTTGAAAATCACAGTTGTTTGTTTTCAAATGTCATCCCAATCAAAGAAAGTGTGTTGGGCAGGAGAAGTAAAGCATGAAATATAAGTAAACTTGCCGGTTGATTGAAGTAGTAACAGAGCAGTCAGAAAATACCACTGCTGTAGTCGGGTCATCGCTGTTAGACTGGAGTGCGGGGCGGGACAGAACAAGAATGGCTGGAGGCCACAGACAGAGAGACGGCAAGATGACGTAAGTCTAAAAATAACACAAAATTATTAGAGCGCACAACAAAATTATTGGATAAGAGGTGGATCACAACCGCTCTTCGAGATCAAAGTGAGAAAATGAAGCGTGAATCAATTGCCACGCGAACGCTAAGGGCACGTGAAACATGTTAATTGCGTGGGTCGTCACTCACTGTGATGATTGATCAAAACGTTGGCAGGCGACAATAACTTGATATGAATTAAACCACTATGACAACTGGCAGGCGCATTGGGGAGAAATGATGAGAAACAACTTCAAGTTCGTTTTCGGCATTATGTTTATGAGGAAAAGAAATATTTTTGATAACAAAAAAAAATTTTTTTTACTCATTTATTCGCACATAGTCAGGACAGCGTTTTCCCGCCACCTGACATAATACATAGATTAAAATCTGGAATCAATCAATATTATAAGATGTTTTTCTTATTAAAGATGGATTATATAAAATCAACAAAAATTTGATTATCATTGAGGAAACAGTAAAACTTCCTAGTTAAAAGAGAAATTCTATGCTATTAGAATTTACAGGCAGCAGTGTTATAGGCGAGTGTGGTGTTTAATAATCTTAAATCTTTTTAATTCCTTCTTCTAAACATATCAAACGCTTGATTCTTAGAGTCATGATGCTGAGGGTGTGCATTATGCTTAATATATCTGACGTTGAATTGATCAGGATAAGATAGATTAGGTGTCTGCTCCTTCACAAAATCCTTTCTCTCGGGATTGAGTAGAAGAGGACTGGGAATGTTCGTGTACAGAGAGAGTACAGTTCTCTTTAAATTGGTCCTCCGTATACCACACATACTGCAAGAAAGCGTTTACAAGAGTTTAAAATTTGATGAAACCTGAGCATTTCCGGCTTATAACGGAAGTAAAACTTGGAGAAGTTTGCATGCTGCGCTATTGTTCGGAATACGTTTCGAACCTGTGATTAAAATGGTTTTCTCGGTCTCCTTGGAGTTTTGGTAAACCTGAGTATCTCTTCTGTAGAACCACAGCTCATGATGTTCCACGTCATAACCATATTTTTTATGATCGTCGAAATAGGATGAGTACTAAAAGCAGGAAAAAACTGATTGTAAAAAGTTATTATGAAAGCATTACAGTATTGGAAAGTTTAATCATCACGTTATCTGGTGAAATCCGCAGAGACATTCTCCAGATATCTTTCCATGCGGTTGTTGGATCAGGACCAAAAAGATCTGAACATATCGAGTACATGCAGACGTTCCATTATGCATATTACTTCCTAGTAAATTAGAAAACAGAGTCTTTATGCTAGTTACGTTTTCTTCGAAAATTGTGCTGTTTCTTGGAGTAGGGAAGATACACCAGGATCCACCTTTGAAACCCATCTCTTTACCCAATAAGTAGATCGATTCATGAAGATTATTGTGTTCCTCGACAAACTGTAATACATTCTCAAAAATGATATTTGAATGAATTTCAACCTTTAAGCCGAACTTTCGACAATTTTCAGTTTTCTCAAGAACGTGAGCTATGAACTTTTTAAAATTCAATACTTCTATCAACTCCTGGGGAGTTGGTCTTTGCCCCGGAGATATAATAGATCCGCTGAAACCAAATTATTAATCAGATAGTGGTCAAAGTTTGAAACCAGAATTCCGCGATATTGCCTTGTGTTGACAGCCCGTTGCCAATGAACGATAAGTATGGCCCTCGAAACCATAACTGAAGAGTAGCACTAAGTAAAAGAAATGGAAAGCATATCACTGACAGGAAAGAGACTCTCGAAGTAGTTAGAGGATAAATCGTCCGGTTTTTCGAGAAGGGTGACGTGTTTCCTGGAAAGGTAAGCGTAACATAAAACTGATGATGAAAAATAATCAACCATGGAGCTCCATTGATGTCGCGTAAAAAAATTGTAAAATCTAAAATGTTTCTTCCTATGAAGCTATCGAGAAGTCGATGCATGTCTCTCCCTCGGAGAGAAGTAAAAATTTGAGTGAAAAAATAACCATCAGCGAACTCTTGAATTTCAACAAAACTCATCTGAAGCAAGTACTAGCTATATGTCGAAAGCATGTAAATGGGAACTGCTATGAGGTATAAATGGAAAACTAGAATACCGGACTCTTTGAAACGGAATTGCATACATACAGTATAAACACTTTATTTATTAAATGAATAACACAGAATCAATACTTCTACCTGTAACATGCATTTACACAAAGTGACATTCTCTGACGCGTTCGACGAGATAAAATATAAAATGCTGTGAATATATTAGAAGAAGTGGTAGCTTAGCTCCAGGCCTCTAACCATCTTCTCCTGTATCAATATGTGATTAGCACAATGTCTTCTTTGGATTTGGTTATTCAATGTGATTATTAAACATTTGCAGAGACCATGTCGATTGAAGTATAACTATGGCAAGTGAAGCTGGCTTCTATATATATATAAGGGATGTGAGGCTAGCTCTTATATAACTAAGGCAAGTGAGGCTGGCTCCTATATGTCTCTGGCAAGTCTATTTACAGTATATCGTTAGTTGACCTTCATTTTCCTGGTGGAAACTGAAAAAGATAATACTTAATTTTCCAAAGTTCAATCTTGTGACTCACTAGTATTTCTCCATTTTCAAATATTTTACAACTTCGGCTTTAATGGCACCTTTGCTGCCTTCGGTTTTACCCGCACCCGTAATAACAGTTATCTTCTTTTTGCTTTTGAAATCACTAGCGACTATTGTTCCTTAAACAAGATTTTGAGATTTACATTAGACTTGATAACCCACTATCGTATTGTCTCAACTTTTCTTTTAAAGTATCCAATGCGCAGCTAACGGTCATTTTATGGAAGTCCATCACATCGCATCTCAAGTTAGCTTCTTTGAGGATTAAGTTAGCTTCATTACGCAAACGGTTAACTTCTTTCAAGTAATCGAAACCCTAAACAGCATAACTCGAAAATAAACATATAGAAAATTCAATGTACGCACCTCAGCTCGATAGAATGTACCACCATGCTTGGGAGCTGCCTGTCCTTTTATCAACTGTGCTTGCCCGCTCACATACAGCTCATTAGCCCTTTCGAACAAATCTTTGGCTCGCAGCTGAGCAGTTCTTAGACTATCCCTTCTGGTTATCACTTTTCTTTGCAAAGTTTTCTGCTGCGTAGGCTGAAATCCAAAAATAGGGAGAGTGGTGGGAACAATTACTTACTTGAAGATCGACAAGGGGTTTCGGATCAAACTCAGCGGTCAGAATGGTACGCGTGAAATCAGAATTGTAACTAGGAAGAGAACGTTAGAACTGTTTCTACAAATAAAAATACCCATTATCCATAAATAGTTGGAACAATGCCATATTGTCAACCATTGGAAATTCTTGCACCAATTTCAAGTATTGGATCCTCTGGGCCATTGTTATCCGGTTCTGCTGAAAGGCAAAAGTTCAGAAAAATTGTAAGGGTCTTCTTGCCGTAGACATGGGAGCAGCGTTCTCTTCGTCCAACTTTCTGGCGAGCATTTCGTCCAACTCTAGGTTCGAGAATTCTTCTACTGCAAAGTAATTAGTACAAAAATTTCGATATGTATTTACCTAAGTTGTCCTTGGATTGTTTGTAGAGCTGTAACAGTACAGAAATATTTACAGTCAGAGTCTCTGGAATATCTGTTCCGTCGCCCGTTCCTAAGTTAGAGAAGTACACAAATCTTTGAATAAGTAAACTACCAAAAAGGATACTAAGAATAGTCTTCAGATCAGATATCTTAATTTGAACTTTTACGTCATCCGAGGCAGAAAGCTGCTCGAACTCGTCTCTCTCTTCAAAATAGTTGAATGAGTTATCTACGAGAAATAAAGCACCGCCTACCGATTCGATACGATTTCGTCATATGCTCTCTAACTTCTTCATGAGGTTGATATGCTCCCTGAGGCAACCATATATTATACGATCGATTTTCACTCTACTCACCTTTATAACGAAAGCTTCGTGATTGGCATAGGTGTTACCTGTTTCATGGAAAAGAGCGATCGTCATATTCAATCCCACGTTGTCATAGTAATGCTTCAAGTCCTCTGGGTCCTCAAATGGAAAAAGACACACAAGTAGATCCATATCATCTGTTGGCACCAACTCTCTTAAAAAGCCGTTTGGAAACAGTCATATTATAATTTGAGCTAACTCCGCATCGCTTTTCCCTGGAGCAGGTCTATCTTTACATTCCACCTCAGTATATCTCTCGTAGACTTTTGACGTTTCCTCGATTATTTCGAACTCTGTGGTATGACAGAGAACTCCAGCTTCCGCCAAAGGTACTAAAAAATATAATTCTAATTCCAGTAATAGAATATGAGACTAACTCATAACTTCTTTTAACTGAGTCTGAACAGTTCTCTGCACGACCTCTCGTTTTGTAGGTTCAACAACAGGAAGAGAAAGTGAAAGAAAACCTAAAACTGATAAGATGAGAAACTTTCCGATTCACTTTACTTTTTACAGGTTCAGGTGTCGTCACTTTCGGTGAAAGTGTTATGACAGGACCTAAAGCAATAATACATGGATCTTTGGTTACAGTGATATAGCTCACTTGGTATAGAGCTCAGTATGTTTTCCATTTTAGGAGTGGATGCAAAACTTATTCCAGCGGAAATTCCAGGAATAGTTAGCCCAGGTGGAGGTGCGAAGCTAATCGGTTTTGGATACTCTGGAGGGTGAGAAAGCTCAATTTTATCGTCATAGTCGCCTTCACCGCAGTTATAATCCAGGTTCAGCCTGAACAGTTGCAATGTGAAAATAAAAATTTGACTAAGAAAAGAGAGACTTTATTTGTACGTTTTTCCCCACGAGTACTTGTAGCGTAATATCTCTTTCAGTTGACATCTTATCCAGCATCATAACTATCCTATCCTTCGTTACTCCATGGATGTTTTTCCTGTACAAATGTTATGAAGGTCGTAAAATCCAGAATCATACTTAGCACAAACGGAAGCCTTGTTTCGCCATTCACTTTCTGCTTCTACTACATATATTTCATAAAAGTTTACAACTGCCTTGAAAACATGATCATTTCGAAATATGGATATAAGCTAACTCACATGATGCACATATTGTCGCATATCATCTACTGAGATGTTGGTATTGTCAACTATAACTAACTTCGTACAATTTTTTATCGCATCTCGAACTGAAAACAAAAAAAAGTTTTTTGAAACATATAATTAATGATTAACCTCGGGCAACATTCTTTTTATGATAGTCGTCAAGAAGAGCTGCATCCCATTTGTACTGATGATCCCGATCATAGAAATAATCGTCAGTACTGAAGATTTTTGCGTCGGAAGAAAGATCTTTTAACTTTCTTAAAGGTCAAAGTTGGTGAAGATCTTCATCGGGAACTAGTTAAAACCTCGCTGTATACGATTTACCAGAACCAGGCACACCCCGCATTAAAATTAAAGTGTTATGTCCATCGCGAATACATGAAGTTATGTCTTTAAAGGACGCAGATGAATCTCTGCATTGATAATGCTCCTGTTTATTCATGAAATAGCCAGAAATACACAATTATTATCTTAAAGAAATAATAATTAAATCAGTATAGTTTAGAAGAATGTTTTGAAAGGATAACGATGTGTGTAAATGTAACAAGTTGATATAAAAAACGTTTACGCAGTCACGTGGTTCAAAAAATTTTCAATTTGTATCAAATTTTCATTGCGTATGTGGAAGCCATCGCTAGACAAAGCTTCTAAGATACCTCTTCAGTTCCAATTCTTATCTTTTTTCCATTTCTGTAAAGACATGTAGTAAGAAACAGACAACCAGACGCGATCAAGCATTCGTTTCAGGAAATGCGAGACAGTGCACTAGTGGGTAGAGGGAAAAGATATAAAGGATGTCAGTGCATTCTGTTGGCGACTTTGTTGTTTCGCTTATTTAATTTTATGATATAAAGTTCACCTATAGACCTTCGTTTTAGTCAATGCCCACTGGATCTAATGAGATTAATTGGACTGCACGTGGACGCTACAATGTTGTTGTTAACTTCTTCCAAGATGTTTGTTGAATTCAAGATGTAACATATATAATTTCTATTGATTAAGGCTATGCAAACGCGTAATAACACCGTAGATTTATACATAAAGAATGTACGGGAAGAAATTAAGAAGAAACGAGAACGATTAGAAATAGAGAAAAATGTTTGATCCCATGTTCAGACAAATCATCCCTTACTTTTTATTTAGCATCAAGAAAAAGTGATTGCGAACCTGTCGGCGCAGAAAGAGGAAACTATCAGGAAGACTTTTTTCGCACGAGCTGCCGAAATAAAAGAAGAAATGTTTCGAGTAACTTACACTTTCCTCATTCTTCAACTTTAACTAAATCTCTCTCAGGAATTTGAAGAAGGAGAGAAGCAGGCCGATGTAGAATTCAACAGTTTAGACATAACCAAGCCATTGACTATAAATAAAGAACCTGGAAAGAAAACATTGAGAGGGTAATTTTGTTTATCTTTTCCGGAAATTTGGAATTTTTAGACGAGGAGCTGGACCCTCTGAACCCGTTCAATTTGTAGCTCCCGTAGGAAGAAGTGCACTTAATATGGCTCCTCAAACCCATTACCTACTGAGCGATGGAGAGATTTTATCAGATTTGAAAGCTGTTAATGCAGCAACCAACGACAAATATCATGTGAAAGTAAGTGGTATTGCCTTTATCTGATCTTCTATATGGTATTTCAGTATCATAAAGTTGCGGACGCAATTTTCACAAAACAAAAACTTACATATGATGGAAAGAAGTAGGCTATATACTTGCTCGTTGTTCTTTTCACATGGCTCTTTCAGTTACAAACAAGGCGAAGAATGCGTTGTGGAAAATGAAGAATATGGCCGCTTCCCCGCTAGGATAGATTTCATATCAGATAGAGTAGTAGTGCTCAAGGTATATTCCCTCTCACAAACTTTACATCATAAGCGTTTAGGCAACTATGTCGTGGGATATTCGTCAAGTGTATGCATCTAGAGCTGATCTCATTGAAGGCCGTGTATTAATGTACAAGAAAAGAAACGCTTAGTTTTATTTCTGCAATAACATATACTATAACATTCTCAAACATCAACGTTCGATGTACCCGTGCTGTTTTATGAAAAAATAGTAAACTAATCAACAAGTATCTTTGATCTATCTTTAAACATCTAATTCTATCTATGGTGCTATCCAATATGTCAACTTCAGTACGCTTTCATAAGCTCCGAAATACACAAATCCTCCTATGGATATCCATAGTACTCTGGGAGTCAATCCAGCATACAATGATTTAACGCCTCCTGTACTGTAAACCTGCAAGAAAAAACAAAAATATTTTACTTTCTATTAGATATACCTCTCGGAGAGTATTCGCCACAGTCGGAGCAATATCAGCCTTCGATAGCATTATTCTCGTTTTAGCTACATCTAGAGGAGTTGTTAATCCCGCGGAAATTGCTCCAGCGACGCTACCACAAGCTGCACCCACAACTGGAGAACATTTGCCATCCTTCAAAGTATGAATAGTTAACTTGATGCTTAAGACAATTACATTGCTCGGTGACGCCTTCTTCTTCAGAAATTCCCATAGAGGGTACTGGATGACAGCAAAAGGAATTTCTCTCGCGATTGTACTACTATAGCCACGGTAAAAACCAGTCAATCCATGTCTTTGATAAATTTCTTTAGCTATTGAAGTTAGATTATGAGATTTAGTTGCCTACAACTTATTAATCAATGTGATACAAACGACAAAGTAAAGGATGTTACCTGAGCACGCTGCTTGATTAGTTCCGTAGGTACACGAATCAAACAAGCTACAACTTCACCTACACTGGCAGCAGCAGCATGACTAGCCACATCTATAAACAAACCATCGCTTTTCTAATATTTAAAAAATCTAAGTACTATTATGTACAAAAAGTCTCTTGCAGTATTCATAAGAAAGGAAGAAGAGTGCTGCGCCCGGAGCCGATCCTATGGCGACCGAACCCATCCCACTTAAAAAAACTTTCATAAAGCCATGAATGGATCATACCTGTAAATTTTAGTAAATCCTCCTGCAGCTCTAAATCCATCTTTACTTTGGATTCTTGTTTTGATAGTATCTAATGGATATAAGCCTAAATCTACAGCTAATCCAGCACTAGCCCCACAAACTGTCCATCTAAAAGCGCTATCACCCATCCCTGAAAATGTTAACTTCTAAATCATTTTATGAAGCATAAGACTGAAGAGCAGTTGCATCTGAACTGTAGATGAACTACGTTCTGTAGCTGAAAGTTTAATGAAGTTCATCTTCCTGATAATACTCAGAAGCTTCTTGTCAAATTGCGTACATGCGTCGCTACAGTACATATACTAACCCAAACTATGAGAAGGTTACTCTAATGGACCCTTTTTCCGTCGTAAATAGAGGTGACCCTTGGGTGGACATTTTTAAAAAATGTATCATACCCAACATACCAATCATCTTTAAAGGGTTTACTAATGAATGGTCTGCCCTTGTAGAGTGGGTAACTGAAGGAGTTCCCAATGTTGATTATCTATTAGAAAACTTTGGTTGGTATTATGTCAGAGGAGCAAACTATATTCAATTCTTGGTTATTATAGGGAATGAAGATTGTCCAGTTGTTGATGCTGAGTCAGGAGATTGCTCCTCCATGAAGTTCAAAGATTACATTAATTATCATTTATCACATGATGATCATAAGCTTTACTTGAAGGATTGGCATTTCCAAAAGAAGTAACTCTTTAGAAAACATATGTTTTTCATAATTTTACGTTTTCTCTAGGTTTGGGACACAATCTTATCATTTGCCTCCATTTCTAAGAACGGACTGGGTGAACTCAGAGCATTGGACAAATGACGAAACAAATGCTTTTAGAGGGGACTATCGGTTCTTATATTTTGGCTGGGAAGGAACCTGGTAAAACTTTTCGAGGAGTTTCTCAAAACATCTGCGAAGGACTCCTTTTCATTCTGACGTATTGTCATCTCACAGTTGGTCAGCAAACATATGTGGAAAAAAGCTGTGGTATTTTGTTCCGATAGGAAAAGAAAATTTATTCCGTCAGGGACCTGATTTTGTAAAAGATATTCGAGATCACAGAAGTTTATGGGTAGAGGTAGGGAAGCATTAATATTCTCGAAGCAATTTCAAATCTTAAGGCTGGCGTTGTGGAAATTATCCAAAACCCAGGTGAAATAGTTTTTGTTCCATCTAATTGGCATCATCAAGTTCATAATATCGTGAGTCCTAGTTATTTTCTCTATTTCCTCTTTCTTCTTCAGGAGACATCCATATCCTTGAATCATAACTCAGTGAATGCAACAAACATTTTCCACGTATTTTCTTTTCTATGTTCTCGAGAAAAAGATGTGAGAAAAGAGTTCGGAGCATACAACTTGGAAAACACTTTCGAACCCGAAGAAATGACAGCACAAGTTCAGGTAATCAAAGTTAATTTTTTTTCATTTCGCTGTTCTGTTCAAGTTGGTTCTAAGAGCTGATACCGGTTTAAATTTTGAAAACTTGGAAAAACTTTTGGAGCAAATCATATCAGATAGATCTGAAGGTGAGAACTCAACCTGCTATGTGTGCCCTCTGCATGTTGATTTGAGAAAATGCATAGGAAACGATGAATGCATGAAGTTCTTTTCCTCAAACTGCTCTTGTGTGGATGACTCTTGTTCTAGTTGTTCTCGTTTATTGAATTCTTATGATCTCTCGATAGCTTTACAAGTTCTATCTGAATTGAAACTCCAAGCATGACATTATCATAAAGTTTATTCTTATTATAACTTCTGTATTTTGAAAACAACAACATCCGTATCTTTGTCGAAAAACACTTTTTCTACTTTGAAATGTGTTTTTAGAGATTCATAAAACTGAGAATCCTTTTCGTATCTGATCTTACTAGCCATATATATAATAGTACTCCCATTAGATAAGTTGATCAGAGCATTCTTTAGAGCTTCAAAGACATCTTTCTTGTAAACCAAATCAGCTCCGAAAATAATATCGGCCGTAATGTCAGGGTGTTCTTCTTGCCAATCAATCTCTTTCACCGTTACTTTTTCCTGTTCATCTGGTGTGAGATTAAGCTTTATATTCTCGTTTAACAGTGACAAGGCATCAGACTGAAATTTGTATTAATCAGTTCTTACGTGAAACTAACGTGAGGGGGTGGGATAAATGAGATTCATTCGTTAAATGATAGGTGCAGTGAACGGTTGTAGGACGACTAACGCTCAAGCTCGAAAGTAAAACTATTTACCTGATCTGTTGCTATAACATGAGATGCATTGTTTTTGCAAGCTACTATAGAAGGAAGACCTAGTCCAGCTCCAAGTTCTATTATGCGTTTGTTTGTGAACAAATTGTGTTCTAAAGCGAATTTGGAGAGAATGATAGCCTATAAATGCAAAATCATAATGAACCATATATTAGAGCTTTACCGAATCCCACAAAACACCTGCAACACCGTTTTCACTCCAGTTTTGTACTAATGTAACTTTGTTATTTCCAATTTCTACTGTTTGTTCGGGTTTATTGAATCTGCTCAATGGAGACTATAACATGGAAAACTAATAAGAAGATGAAGAACAAGATCTCACCTTCTCGGCTTCATAAAGAACTAGCGAATTACAGGTAATCATTACAATAGCATTCAAGATCTGAATAAATATTCTCATGTACTTCTTGTTGATTCTGTTTCTGAAATGGTTTAACCATTACTATTTTAATTGAATCCTTTGTAAGTTATATATTTCGAGTGATCCAGAGTTGAACAATGTCGAGTATGAAAAATGAGGTGATTGAAGGTGAGAAGTACTGATCGTGTTTCTTCAATTAGGAAAGAATTCAGAAATATGGAGATGTGTTCAACAGGAGGAGAAGCTACCTAGAGAGCCTGATGCAGACTTGAAACTTGTAATGCGTGTTATGGATGTGCTTAGGAAGTGCTATCATTACCAGAGTGTAACTCCGATAGAAAAATCTACTCTGTCTGCATCGGTAATTTCCCAAAAAGATATAACAATAACCACTTCTTTACAGTTACAAAAGCAACTGTACGATGTAGTATCCAAAACGGAGTTTGCGCCTAGAAGTGATTTCGATTGGAGCGTCGATGTGATAGCAGGAAATAGCCATGTTCAGAAGAGTATGCAAATAATCACGAACATAAAATTGGGAGGAGAAAACTACGAGTTCGACTTAGAGCAATTTGCCAAACTTCGGTACAACTTGGCCAAGACAGTTCTTTCAGTTCGGAAGTATGAATGATTCCGAACTACACGGGATTTGAATGTACAAATTTCAAAAAAACTATTTATTATGGATTTACTCGCATAAATTTCTTTTTAAGACTTTTGAATATTACATCTCCACACGTAACAGCTTAACAATAGGTGAACAATAATTACAATTATTATTCGATGAAATAAAAAGTAAAACGAAAGTATTTTGAAAACCCGTTCAACAATCGAGATCTAACCTTTTTCAGTTTACAAATTTTTTTGGGCAAGAAGCAAAGGACCACGTGGAATAACTTGCTCATATTTTTCTGGACCGTAAATAGGACCTTCAACCGGTCCGTATATAGGGTCTTCAACAGGTTCTCCATTGAAATCCCCTAAGATTCCGTATCCAGGGGGATTTTCGGGAATAACATCAGTTCTTTCAATATCTATTTTCTCTCCGGTGTAGTCACTGTCTGTTAACATGCCGCGCGAAAGAGCGATATGGCCCAGACTCTCAACTAAGAAAAACTATTACAGCTTCGAAATATCGATACTTACGCGGAGTTCGGTTGTCCAACTTTGTACGGATAGCAAGTACTCTAATTCTCTCCCACATACAGCCAACACTAACCCGAGATTCTGGCTCATGTGCCCACATTTCACCGAGAGAGCGTGATATAGGCCCCAGAACCTAAGAGAAATCATGGAAATTGTTAATAAGAGGTGAGTAACCTCATGTTGATCCAAGTCTAGCCTAAGACCTGGCCGCTGTCTTTTTTGAACGACATGAATTCGGAGATCAGCTAATGTTGGTGAAATTCCCAATTCAGCCTCATATGGGAATTTGTAGAGTGGCGTTCTCTTAGCAGTATCAGCTCTAAGAAGTACTTCCCAGATAACCTATGAATATCGTATTAAAAAAACTTCCAAATTAGTATGAGCGTACCAAGCTGAGAGCATAAACATCTATTTTTCGATACGCCGAGACCGTGAACTCAGTGGCACCCTCAAGTAATTCAGGAGCCATGTATCGACGTGTACCGACCTGAAACACCAAAATCACTTGAATGCATATGGAGATAAGACTACTATTACTTGGCCTCTACCCTTCTCAGAAATAGACGAATCTTTACAAACAACAGAAAGTCCGAAATCACCAAGAATAGAGACTACTCTGTCGCCTGATTTTTTGATGAGGACATTGCCACTCTTAATGTCTCGATGCACGATGGTAGGCTTATACTCTCCAGTAGGGAGCTTCTCTTCGTGTAAGAAAGTTAAAGCATCTAGCAAGCTGACAATGATAGAATGAGCATCCTCAACTTGGACTGTATTCAACTAAACAAGGATTCAGTGTGACTGTTCAATAGAACAAACCGCAAGATATCGTTGCAAGCTTCCCATTGGTAGATACTCGAAAACCATTCCGATGTCAAACTCCCTTATAAAGTAACCGAAGAATTTTAGAATGGATGGATGTTCGTACTGCAAAATATACACATCGGTGGAACTGTAATCAGTCACAAACTTCACATTCGAAGCAAGATTTCTCAGCCAAGAAGAATTCAGCGTTGGAAACATCAGTCATCTTTACAGCTACAACTTTTGTTTCTCCTTTTTGAAGGAACTCTCCTCTAAAAATTCCACCGAACTTTCCTCTTCCAATTTCCTTCAATAGAAAACTTCTGGTACAAACTATTTATGAGTAATATACCTGGTACAGCTTAACATCTGAGATTTGTCCTTCTTTCAATTCTTCCAAAGCTTGCAACGTTTCCTTGTTAAGCTCACGAGGAACTTGATACGTTGGTAGTGGCACGAAAGAAGCCTGAAAGTAGAATTTATCCAAGCGTTGTTACTAGCGATAATTACTCTTCGCTTCTTTCTATAGCACAGGTAGGACAGAATCATTATAAGGAAAGAACAAGTGAGGAAAATTATGAAGAAAGCGATTGCATTTGAAAGTCGATCCGATTCTGTTTCTTCGCCAATGACTGTAATGTTTGAGTGAAGAGAGACCACTAGTACATTAAAAACCAAGATTTTGAGACCTGGCCATACGTTCTAAGTATTCAACTTGGGCTACTTCGTTACAGAAAGGCGTTGTGCAACAGCAGAATGCTGGAGTAGTGGCGTTCTGATTGACACGAATTACACACTGAAAGTAAGATAAAGTTGCGATGTTATCCAGATAACTCACATGGTCGCGATCACAGGTGCCGAGAGCATAAAGCTCTTGCTCCCAACAACCTTGAGAAGTAAAAACGTACTTTCCCTACAATTAAAATTAATCTCCTAGTTTGGAAATGACTCTTACGTCGCCAACAGGATGCAGAATAGAGAAACATCCTATTCTGTAGTATCCTGCATCGGGGGAAGTACTGCATATAATGGTTTTGTTGGTTGGGTCACTGACATTTCGGTACTGTAAAACTAGGATGAATCGTATTTCTCAATGAGCAACACATACTCCACAACCCATAGGTCCAATACCATCATCATTTTCGAACAATCGTTTCTGTATGACTTTGGCAGTCTCTGGCATAAAACCTGAAGTCACCATTGAAATAAGTAAAGTACTCTTGATCAACCTGGATACGAAGCCGCTGGAAAGGTTAACTGATTGATTCAAATAACTTGCGAACAAACCTTTCTCTTTTAACGTCAACTCTGATCCTTTCATATTAACCTGCGCTGAAAGATGAAACATTGTAAGCTTCAACCATCGGAAAAATACCACTGGGTAGAGTTTTCCATGTTTCGTCTTCTGAGGCTCTCACGATCCCCACCCTGCGAACTGAAACCACCAACCCCTTCAAGACCGATGAGCTTAGAACTTACTTGTTCTACTTGCTTGTTCTGAGACGGAGCAATAAGCTAATATCACAAGCAAGGAGAAGGCCTTGGCTAGGCTCAGCGAGCCCATCATTTCGGCCGTCAAACGTGAAAAATGTCACCTAAATTGTCGCATGATCAGACTTTTTGAGAGGTAAAAATAAAGATCACGAAATGATTAAAGTACAGATGATGGAAAATACCGGAAATGATAGAATTCTTTGAAGATTTGCGCAAATGTCTCAATTACCACAAACGTGTTGTGATTACAGAAAATGTACGATTAAACTACACAATTAAAATGAAGAAAATGAACAATCAATAAGTACATAAATTGAAAAAATGAACAATCAGTAGAAAATCTACGTAAGATTACACACACGCGCAGTCCATAAAAAGCAAGAAGTAATTCGCATAAAACTGAGGTAAAGCAGTAAAAAGCTGATGAAAGTCGATCATGAGAGACACCTGAAGCATACTGATGTATGAGATCACAATCCAGAAGAGAGTTAGACAATTTCAAGAATAGCGCGGAGAATTCCGTCTCATGAACAAACTGATAAGAGAAAGAGAGAAAGAAGAGAGAGAGTATCGAAGTGAGAGTGAGGGATCCGAGACAATGAAAGGCAAATTTCTTGTTCGGTGGTACATATTTTATTAGCGCGTTCATATATATACATAGATCTGAGCATATAAGATCTCAGAGAACAATCTAGAAGTACTTTGAGTAGCTTCTTGCTTTAAAAGTATTTAGGTACACAGCTAAAGAGCATGAAAAATGAAATGTCCATATCAAAACTATTTTGGACCGAGCAAAAATTAAAAAATAGTTGACGAAGGAAAAACTGATTAATCACTATCTTCTTCATAAGAATCGGAACTTCTTCGTGTTCGCAACATTTTTTTGACGTTAGTATAAGTTGTATCAAGCATTTTCAAACTGAAAGACATGATTAATCTGAAGGAAATACTGTGAGAACTGTTCTTACGTTTTAGTGTTACTCGAAGAAGTACGTGTTGCACTTAACGGTTTATCAGGGTTATATGTATTCCGACGAATGTATTGGCGTTCAACATATCTGAAATACAGATGGTAGGATGTATATGCTAACTATGAACCTTGCATAACGTATGGATTGAGGACTTAACCCATTATTTTCAAATGTAAAAACAGATGACCTCGGTGTGTTTCCGATTGAGTCCAGATCTATGGGCTTTGCCACAAATATCTGCGAAAAAAAAATTTATGGCACTGCTCTCTGTAAAACCCACCTGTCGCACAGGAGTTCTGGTACGGCTTTCCATTTCGTTGTTACTGTAAAAGCCACTCAGATCCAAATCTCGTATTGTTCTGCACAAAATTCTTTGCTACTGTTAGAAAACAAGATACATACGTCTGAAGCTCATCTAACTCTTCTTCGGCAAGTGGTCTTCCTTTAACTTCTTCAGCTATAGAAGTTAGATTTCTCCTAGTTTTCTTTCTCATTCCGGCGAACTGTTGGCTGATGTCCATCACATCACTCACGGAAACGTTCAAGTCGCAGCTCTTAATAACAAACGTTTGTCTCTTTCAAACAGATCCAAATAGTATTCACTTGTCCAGGGCTGATCGGAGAAATATGAGCGAAATAGTCATCGTTTTTACTACTCGAAGGTGGGCTCGTGTTACTACCATCTTAATTGTATATTCCTTTCTACTCTCGCAACGATAAAAAAACCTCTTGATCTGACTAGAAATGGAGTTGAACATGTAAATTTCTTTCCAAGAATCTGCATAAAAAACTAATCATTCTGATTGAGACTATGTCTTACACTGCTCATCAATCCTTTCGTTTTACATTTTGTGGTTAACTTAGTAATAGTCTGTTTAACTCTATCAATTGGATTTATCTGAAAAACAAAAAGATTTTCGATACATGCTTCCGATATAATTACAGGTGGACTGGTGTCGGTGCTAATTCTAGAACGTCTTGTGGAATTCTTAAAAAGGTTCTTGAATGATCGGAAAAAGGTATCAAACTCACTCCGTCATGCTGTCTCGGCTTCCGTCTTGTACTTCTTTGATGAGGTGAATCTAAGAAAAGGTTTATGAAACAAATGCGATGGACTTACTACGCTTCTCTTTCCAGTAGTACAAACTATCATAGAAATTTCTATACGATTTCACTGAAATTGGCAAATATAAAAAAATATTACTCTGTGCACGTACATGTTACGTTCTTGAAATACACCGAGTAATCAACCGTCTGAAACGATTTGTTGAGTTCAAACCAAAAAAACAAACCGAAATACCTTTCCTTTCAACCGTTCGGATCTACGTACAGGAGGCAACATATGCAATACTGATGTTCGTTTAACTTCAAGATTATCAATTCAAATATTTCACAATCAAAACTAAGGAATACCGAGAGATGCCATAATTGCGTAGTGTTATTATTATTTCATAAATTGTTTATCATATGTTTCCGGCTGAGACAGAAAGAACACGACCCACCAATACGCCAATGCAAGACACTAGAAATGAAATCTTTTTTTTTTTTTCCCAGAACTTCCGCAATAACTCACAGTAGTTGTATTTATTGATTTGTACTTTACTTGTACACAACAGTCATTTTGATTTCAAATGTTCAAGAACAGTTCAAACCGATCAGCTGATATCTTTAATCGTTCATCGACCAGCCTTACAAAATTCAGCAATTTATTTTTGGTTTTCTAAAGCGCGTCAGCGTTAAAGGCTTTGACGTGCTTGAACAGAGCAACAATCTGTAAATATCTTATCATTCCTTCTCTAATAAGTCAAGTGCCTTATTATCAGCGTTATGTGACGTCTTTTTTTCGCTATTTAAGGAGGCAGCCTGTGGTCCGTTTATCTTTCAATTTATTGAGGTGATTCCCGTTTTATAGACATGAAGTTGTTTGTTGCCCTCCTTGCTACTCTTCTCATTGTGGCGTCCGTGGAGGCTAAGAAAAAGTTTGTTATCATTCCTATTTTACTCTATTAATCTTATTACTCAGAGTGAAGAGAGCAGCCCCTGCTGACCCAACCGAAAAACAAGCATTCAAATTTCGCAACCTGAAAGAAGCCAACAACTTGAACCAAATCCCAGTTCTCAAAACACCAACTCCCTATGAACAATGCAAAATGAAATGCAAGGAGGAAAGAGATTCTGTGGCTATTACTGGAGTAAATTTGAAAGACGCCTTATTTTTTAACTTTTTTGTTTGAAGTACATTCAACAGTTGAAGGACGAATTGGCTGCCGCTGAGTTGTTGGAAGCTCAAGCTGCCGCTGCAGCTCAAGCTGCTGCTGAAACTGCTGCCGCAGCTGAAGCTGCAGCTGCTGAGGAAGCTCAGGCTGCCTTAGACGTTGAAGGTCAACAAGCTTCTCAGACTATCACCTCATCAGCCGAAGTTGAAGAAGAGCCAAAGGTGAGATATTTAATCTTTCTAATAACTAGTAATCTTCTTGTAGGCTTTGTTGAGAGAAATTGCTGAAGCACATGATGTGATCAGAGAAGCTGCCGCCCAAGTTAATAAGAATTGATTTTTCTCAGAATTAAAATATTTAATAAAAAAATTGCATTTAACATCGTTCGAACACTTTGTAGAGATCATGTAAGTCTGTTAAGCGGTTGATGTAACCCTCGTTTTTCAATCTAAACAATGATCTATGCTTCCTTTCTAAACTTACAACTGACTTGTTGGTTGGAATTAATTTGGTTTTCAAACGTGGAACGAACAAATCCTCTATAGCAGCCTTCCATGTCGCTTTACTTCCTAATCCTATAGTATCTTTTTTGTCTGTTGAAATAGAACGGAAGCCTACTACCTGACAGGAGAGTTCCTTCACAGAAATCTTCTTTAATAGTGAAGAACTTGGAGAGAACCACGCAGACTCCTTTGAAACAGTTTTCTTCCTGTAAGTAAGTGAACAGTTTTTTCTCATTGAGCTAATCGCACCGTTTCCCAATCAATTTCGCTTATGAGATCATAAACAAGAGCAGGGAGCCCTTCTAACTGAGGTATATAACCATCTATAATGCTGGGAATGCCAACCAAGTAGGGAATTTCGACATTCTCATCCTCTTCTGATGGTCTCATTTCAATCGTCAGAGAGAATAAATCGTTCAACATTTCTCTTTCTCTCGCTAGAAATAGAGCAGCATCCGCTGCGTTCCCTGTTGAACGAAAAAGTTGAGATCGACACGTTTTCTCATATCAATTACCAATCATCTCCGGAGTTAATTTTTTTGCGTGATGAATGAAAAGTTTTTCTACGCTAATGCCTCCATTATCTAAACGAACAGAACCGAAGTTTCCAAAAGAGAATAGTAGAATCTGCAATGATTTATAGCATTACTGGAGCCACTGCTTCACTTCACCTGATAAAACAATTCTTCAGTTATCTTTCTGAGGTTAAACATGAAGAGTGAGGTTGAGTATTGTACAAGGATGTGTTCAGCATTGATGCATCCAACAAAGGAAATAGTTTTGAAAAGATCTCTCAAAAGTTAATGCTGTTATTCATGTGTATTGGAATGAAGTCAAACCTTAACTCTTGAGAAGTCTCAACACAAATTTCTCTTCTTAAATTCGATAAAGATTCGAACATAAACGTTCTCTTACACGAATTTCCAGTCTACAAAACTTTATTTAAAAGTTTAGCTCGATGAATACCTGGGTGTAGTTAACAGCTCCATCTTCTTCAACTGAGCCAACTGGAATCAAGACAGCATCGCTCAGGGAGCAACGTGATTCTTGTGAAGATGTGAGAAATTGGTTAATTTTTTGCTCCTTGCTATCTGTTCTTATATTCTGATATGAATGATTGATTAAAAAACTAGCTTGTTCACACACCATATGGTCAACACGCTTTTTCTGGCTTTGTGATGGTCCAGACTCTTCACTGGCACTTTTCGAAGCCATAATGTTTTGAGAATAAGAAGGTATGCGTGTTACTTGAGTGGAAGTGAGTTCATGTCTTATTTGGCGACCAGCGTTCAGATCACAATTAGAAAAATCACCCAAAAGTTCTTGTATATGCTGAATCATTGAGACATGAGATCAGATCTCGTAAAGCTTCATCTTTACCGATGCGATATCGTCTACAATTAAATCTTCATCCAAAAAGATTACGTTCTGCTTGGTTGGATGAACATTAACATCAATTCGAGCAGGATCCATCTAAGCATTTTTTGAAAAGAACAGTAGGAAATCGATTTGCATACCTCTAATGATACAATGACGAAACTATGAACTAGAGTCAGATCGGTAATTACTTTTTCGAAACCATGTTTTAAAAGGGGACATTGAACATCTCGTCCGTTTATAAAAATAAAGAACTGCTTTCTACGATCCTGCAAAGTACACTTGTCAGCTAGAGTTCTAAGATAATCAGTAGTAAGAAACAACCGTTCCTTCCGATTTTTGAAAATGAAATGAACTTTGCTTCCATCTCATGATGTTTTCACCGCATGCAAATCATATGTTCTTACCTTGCGAGCTTGAATCGCGGTTGATGTGGCCGAAACGGTTGGTCGTGAGAAACATCCACTCAATTTGAACTTAAGACTTTCATTTTTGTAATCGATATCTAATAAATCCTCAAAATAGAAAGCAGTTTTAAGCAGGAAAACTGCATCATACTTCAGCATAATGAGATCCGAGCAATTGGGTTATGACTGTTTTTCGTTTGCCATCACCAGAAGTTCTAAAATCACTTCCTGTTGTTCCCTTTCTGAGGGCGAACTTAACATCTCTTAAAGAATTTTGCTAAAAATTTTTAACATATTATATTCTCATACGGTCTGAAAACTGCATATTTGGTTACTACATCAGCTACTCGTGCTGTTTCTTCTGCTTGATTTTTAAATGTAAGTCGCCTTGATGGGCAGTTATGGAATAGATCTTCGGCTGTAATCACAGTTCCATTCTGACCAGCTGAAGGTCTGATTGCTGTGACTTTCCCATCTATCAAAAACTGATGAACCAATAACCAAAAAAGTAATACCAAGGTATTTGGCTTGATAAGCGACTTGTTGTTCAGCAGGCTTAGAAGTGATTGTCACCTAAACATGTTGATTAGCATGACTAGCCAATAAAGCAGTTAAGGACTTTCGACACAAGACTAATTGAAGCTAATGCTTCACCACGAAATCCATAAGTCTGCATACTTTGTAAATCTTCAAAGTTGGTCAACTTAGATGTCGTGAACCGTTCGCAAGCTAAATCCAAATCATCTTTGTAAATCCCTTTGCCATTATCCTAGAAACCAATTTGTGAGTATACATAAGGCCGAAGCAAACCCACCTGGATTTGTATCATATCTAAACCCCCATTTTTTACAGACACAACAATTTCGGTGGCACCGGCATCAAGACTATTCTCTATCAACTCTTTGACAGCATTGGCTGGACGCACAACAACCTCACCGGCTGCTATTCGATTCACAACGATTTCAGGTAATCTTTTGATTACCCCCATTTACCCCCTGCAAAATGATTCCTGTCTGAGCATAATAAGCGAGGAACAAGAACTTTCGAAGACTTAGAACATCAACAAAAACGAATTGGATGAAAAAAGGATCGTTTATTCACAAAAGGAAACAAAAATTGAAAATGACAAAATGTGAAATCGGTTTTTGAATTTGAAAAGTTAAAGGTCGAGGAATGTTAACTTACAACTTAAATTTGAATATTTTACAAGAAAGGAGCTCACTATTATATAAATAATATTGCACTGATTTTCTTATGAAACTGACTAGTTTTACAAAAATAGCAATGTGGTCAAACAAATTCGGAGACAATGTTCAGAATAATTCAACAATTTGATATAAAACAACTAAATAATGTTACATGTGAGAGTTGGTAAGTGAAAATGTGAGTGTAAGTTTCTTACATAAATGTCTTAATGCCATTCTTCTTCGGCTACTCCCTCCATCTTATCTTGTTCCAATGTGCCATCCTTCACAATTTGGTCTGACCAGCTTGATTCAACCTGCTTCTTTACTTCCGTCTCCTCCACCTTCTTATCTGTTGTGTCGGGAATGTTCGACCTCTTCGCTAATTGAGTCAAGACAGGAGGAGCTGAATCTAAAGAACAATACTTGAAATCTTTCAAGATGCTTATTCATACTTATTGAAGCAACTCCATTTGGTTTCAAACTGCGGAACATGGGAGCTCTTTCATCTCCATCGAACCATTCATCCATGGTCAATGTAGGTTCCCAAGTAACTAGTGCATCAGGGAACAAGTCTGTTTGGAAGCCATCCTTCTTTACTCGTGGAACTCGGAAGATCATCAACTCTAAGCTCTTTTCGCTCAGCCTCCATCCACGTTGGAACTCAACTGCCATCACATCACAACTATAAAAGTAGGAATGAACAAGAGTTAAAGTCTACAAACATACACTTTCTTGTTGTGGAAAGCTATAGACTGGCATCCAGAATCTCCCTTATAGTCTGTGAGCGAGAGGAAGTAAGGGGAATCATAACAGACTTCAAACATGCGCAATGTCTGATCTCCCTAAACAAGTATGTTTCAATAGATACAAAATATGCTGTATACCTTTCCACTCAAGAAGAGGACATTAGTGTCATAATCGTAATGAGGGATGAGAGGTTGAGTTGCTGTATCAATAATTTCCACGTGAATTTGACTCAAGCTCTGAGAATCAAGAAGGTAGACCTGAAAAAGAAATACATATGCAGGTATATGAAGGAATAACTACTTGTCTTGTTGAGCTCTTAGTGAAACCAACAACAATGATAGCACGGTCATCACAAGCGTAAAGAACTCTAGCGGCACGAGCGTTTTCGAGCATCTGAAAGAAAATGTTGCAGAGCTAGAATGAGCGAAACTTACTTTTTTCTGGCGAATCAAGCAATCTTCTCCTAACTGAGGTTGATGGACATTTAGCATGAGATCTTTTCCTAGGGATGCGAGGAAACGCCCATCAGCACTCCAAGTAATTGAGAGAATGGATCCAGTATGTGAGCAGACTCTGAAAGAAGACAGATCCCTAAGAGAAAGTATAATATAGGTTACTTCAATTTTTTAACGCAGTTCTTCACGTCCCAAAGTTCAATGGAAGCATCAGCCAACGCTACAGCCAATAGTCCAGAAACCATTGGATGCCAAGCAAGGCAAGAAACTTTTTCACCTCCGATAGAGATGACCTTAGAAGGTTCCATTTCATTTCGAGCTCCATCAGTTTTTGAGAAGTTCCAAATATTGATGACTCCAGCGTCTGTTCCACAGGCAAGCTCTCCATCATCGAAAGGATTCCATTTCAAATCAGTGACTGGCGCCTTATTGAAAATTCCATCCATTACACCATCGGGCAGTTTACAAGGTTCATCGATGTTGTATATTCCAACAACTCCAGCTGGTCCACTCAATGGGACAGCAACAAACTAAAACAAAGAAAACCGTTGAGGATAAACAGAAAAAACGAGAGAACCTGTCCGCCGGCACAAGCACCGTTGCACTCAGGAGGAAGTCTTGTGTTGACATTTCTTAGATTACTAAATACGGAATTGTTGGCTTTGATTCCAACAATAGTTTCTACATAACGGAATTTAGATCTAACAAGTCCAACGACACATGATTTGGGTCGTTCACGAGACGAGAGTGGTCTCGAACCTCCGGCAGCTGAAAAATAGTTTGAAATGTTGGATATTGGTCATAGAAGTCTTACAAGGAGGTGAAGTTCTTAGTCGAACAACTGCGGGTTCTGCGATTGGAGTGGACATAGGTTTTTCGTTCTCTTTGGCAGAGTCTTCGGTTTTTATCTGAGCAGTCAACTTTATAATAACGTTCATGATTAAAAAGAACCTGGACAGTTTTTTTCTGAGCAGTGTGTGGTGCGCTAGGCTCTGGATAAACAATCTCCTTCACAGCAGGCTTGACAGTAGCAATTGGCTTGGGTTCCTAATCGAGATTATAACTATGAAAACTATAACACAGGTACCTGAACTTCTGTTGCAACGCTTCTAGGAGCAGGAGCAACTCGTTGCTCTTGTTTTGGAGGAGTAGGTTCTTGAGGAGGAGGAGATGGGTTACCAACAGGTGAAAGCGAAACTTTAGCAGGCTAAGACAATTCTTATAAAAAGGTTATAAAATCAAAAATACCATTTTGTCACTGCCGTTCAACCAATCTTTGGAAGAGCAGCCAGCTTCGTTTCCCATAGTATCGGGGAAGAGATCAGCGTGGAACTCGCGGTAAGACTAGATTTTTATTATTTGAAATATTCGAGGAAGTGGACATACTCGACGAGGTACGATGCACGGGACAGAGAGAATTGAGGTCTTGGTCAACTGATAGAAAGTATCAACTTCTCCTACCATAACGTTAGTAGATCTTTTCGATCCTAAGCATGATCCTAAGGTTTGCTCAGCAAACGTTGTTTCGTAAACTAAAAAAAATAAAAATATCTCATGAGATACGAAAGTCCAGTCGTACCAGAAGATAAGAGAGGCTGTCTCTCTTGCATTTCCATCAAGAATAACTTATTGGTTCCCTTGCCAGCAAGGTATACAAGTTTAGTATCTTCATCATAATGTGGAATTAGAACTCCGGTTGTAGAGACAAACTCCTGAAGTTAATTTTTATGCGAAAGACACTTGGGGGTATTACAAACCTGTGTGTGTACTGGAGAGTCCCACTTGTTAGTTTCATAAATAAGTACTTCTTGAACTCGTTTCTGAAAAAATGAAATGATTTATGACCTCTCTTCTCTCGATTACATTAGTAAATCCACTGGAGAGTAGGCGATCTCCACAGAACAGAATTCTTCCTTCTCTTCCCATTCCTTGGTGAAGAGACATTGTTTTAATCGGATCAGATCCAGCACGAGCATCATAAATACAGCCCTTAAAGAAAAAAGATTTCCACTTCTCCTATATGTTCTCTTACTTGACGTCCGCGATCACAACTTACAGCTAAGAGCCTACCATCAGGGCTCCATGAAAGGGAAACCCCTTTATCGATCACTCCACCTAATTCTACGAAGAATCTTTTTAGAGGACGAAAAACAACTCATTATTACCTTGAACTACTTTTTTCTCTTCTAAATCGATCAAATAAGAAGATCCTGAAGAAGAAGCAGCGACAAGTCCAGAAGCTGTGGTATGTGGAGCCAAAGAGTCCAACATCACACCGTTTCCTACATCAATTTCGCAGGCTAATTCACTTTGAATAGGCTCTTCACTTGCAGAAATCTTCCAAACTTTGAGCTAAGAGAGGTTCATGTAGCTATATCAAACTCATATAGAATACCTTATCATCTCTACTGCAAGTTACAAGAGTATCATTATCGAATGGCATGAAAGTGAAGTCATCAATCAGATCTTGAAACAGAAGAAGTTTCCAATTAGGAAAAAAAAGCTAATTAAAACCTCCATGAGCACAAATGATGCCAATATCTTTCCTCAAACGACGGCCCTTGGCTCCAACAGGCAATATTCCTAATTTACCGCCTGAAACAAGTTGGAGGTCAAAGTAAACATTTTTTCAGAACAACCTTCTCCTTCAATGGCGAAAGCTAAGTAGTTCTGATTAGCTTGGATTCCATTATTTGTACAACAAAGGTTTCCTGTGGGGAGATCAAAAATTGTATCCTTAAAGAGTAATTTAAACTGATTAGTTCACAATGTAAGAAGAAACTAGTTTCTAATCTTACTAATTCCTTACTTCTTTCTTCGGAATCTTTGGAGTGGTATTCTTAAATTTTGAAGCTTGGAATCGCCATGCCATTTTGATTGCTGTATAAAGGCGATCGAAGTGCCTTAAAAGAACATATAAAACTAATGCAATATTAGGTGAGATTCGCAAATTATAGTTATGAACGAGTAATGAAGCTGTGACCAATTAAGAACATCATCGAAGCAAACAAGAAATAATGAAAACAACAGAAACACATGGCATACAACGATAATCAAGTGTTCCCTTATAACTACCGTTTTCTAGCTCCACCCACAAAACTGCGCGCGCGCAAGAATTTACTTTGCGTATAAAATTTTCAAATGAGTAGCAATTATAATGATACAGTAATCCAAAAACAGTATCAATATCAACATAAATAAACATTTCGGATATCTAAGGACATCAACTCTCTCAGATTTCAACTCGTTCCCGCAATCAAAATACAAAAACACCTCGAATTTACAACCATTCGCTTGAATATAGTCTTCAAACGTTGACCACAGACAAAATCTCAGATGTGAGGATATGAGGATATGAAGAAATGATCAGACATCGATTACTATCTTTACAATTTATTTTGTCCAGACAGTGTGGTCTCCGTCTCATCTCTCACCACCTAATACAAACAGCGTCTGGCATGATTTATGAAACATCGAGTGGACATATTTTCATATAAAAGTAGTACTCAAAAACAAAACGAATGTTTCATAGCTCTGAAGTTCAAAATCTTAATTCAGATAAATCAATTATTCACCCAGGCGCAAATTAATTACTCGTTACGATCCGGGTCAGTGTCCATATATGAACAATGGCATTGTTAATCCCCCTAACTCAATCGCATTATTGACTGCCTAATTACGAAAACGAGATAAGCCGAGCCACCGTTTAGCTTCGAACTGTGGGTCTAATCACCTTATTCATCCGCACATCCTCAATAACATGCAGAGTAGTCCCAAAATCAAGAGACTCCCATCTTCAAGTACTATTTCATGCTCATAACTATGCACAATGGGGCGTAGATCTAATTAAGGCGTCTAAAGCTTCCTGTGGGCATTTGGAGGATATGAAAGTACCTCACGATGTCTTCATACTAACTCTTCTCTACTGAACTCATCTAAAACAAATTTGATCATCGTAAAAGGTAAACTTCTTCTGCAATTCCAGCATAACTAGATTTGCTTCAGATGCTTTTTCAAATTCTCATGGTATGGATAGGTTGTGGACTAACCAATGAAGTGGTAGCTTTATCAGCTTGTCCACAGCAATGCATCTGTTCCGAAAACAATATAATTTGCTCGTGAGTTTACATTTTTTTGCGAACTAAGAAGAAAGAAGAAAACACGCGGGAGAAAAGCTCAAAGAGCATCTTCCGTAGCGTGGCAAAGGTTGCAAGAGATACTCCAATATTATGATCTCAACAAACTTTGAACAAACAAAAACATAAATTAATGTACATTCAACTGTAAGCTAAGAAGACAACTTCGTTTGTTAACGCACTAAGATCGGATTACCGCTCTTTGCGGGAAAAAATATTCCAACGTTTAAACGCGGGACGTGTTAGTTGTATAAAGCATATTTAGTAGTTTACTTGCTAGGAATCCATTTTCAAACTACAGATATTGAGAGATGAAGAGCAAGTAGCTTGACAGATGTGTGTTAGGGTGTAAATCGAAAAAAAAAGAAATGAAAGCGTCAAATGAAATGGAAGAGGAAGTAGACAGGACAACGTTAGAAAAGTTTCCAAACAGAACATAAACGAAGCGATAGTACTTCTGTCGTGTTGGTTGCTTGTGTACAGCTGGTTCTGTGCTCCATCGTAGAAGGAGACAGCTTTTTTTGAACCGTTTGTAAGTAATGATCGTCACTTCCGCAAAAAAAAATATAATGATTCAATAATGTATGAAGGAGAAGTGAGAGAGATAAGATTTTGATTTTATGATTCATCATTGGTTAGCTCGTGGTTGAACAGATGATTGAGCGTTTGGTAGTGCTTGGTGTTAATACGATAAAAACTATTAAAGTAAAAATAAGTGCTAAAATTGTATAAATTAATCATTGTTATTCTAGAACAATAGATTGAAATAGAAATAGTATTTGAGAAATGTTCTTCTTCTAATGCATACTTAAGAAACGATAAGATAGTTTTATGTTTCAAGTAATCGGTATTTGAAAATGCTTAGAACAATCAAATGGTGCATCATGGCACAATCAGCATTACCGGTTGTGTGAGAGAGTTGTTTATGTTGAATGAACTTATAGAAGTACAAAGAACATGAACACAATTTATAAAACGAGCAATTGAGTGTAGATTGTGGAGATAAGGAACAAATTAAAGATTTAAAGTTAAATATGAAAAAAATTAGAATAATTTGCTGACGTTGCGTCAATGCGCATACACATACACACACACAGACACACATACACGGACACGTACATGCACACAAGCCGATGCATCATTTTTACGAATGAATAGTGAGGCGAACGGTTGTGCTGCATATTTTGTAAACGGGAAATATAGCCTTAGTAATATGAATGTTACAGATGTGAATCAACGCCATCATCAGAATTAACATTGTCATCGTTGGGAGGCTTTTACATTAAATCATTAACTGTTCATTCATGTTCGAAAGTCAATGTACTCAATGGAACTTTTACTGGCGTTGTAATCTTAGATCGCTTATCGTTTATACACATAGGTAATGCTTAAACCTTAAAGTCAAACATACACAATTTTCATATAAAAAAAAGGAAAGAAAAAAAGAAATAAAATGTCTGTTTAAGGCAGGCTTTTTCTCGAACCATTTGCCTTTAAAGGAATACTACAATCACCTAAACAACTGACAATTGAGCAAGTTAGTCAAATATAAACATTATACGAAATAGCGAAATGATTCAGAGCACGATTCCCATACTGATGACTAGTTCATTCACAGGACTGTCACATTTGGAACATATATGGATACGACAATCAACAATTCATTCAATTGCCTCTTATGCTTTTCAATATGTGGCAGATGTCAATTACTTATATTTTCGAGAAAGTCAAATCCGACATATTGAAAAAAAAGCATTCGGTAAATTGAATTATCTTCATATTTGAATATAATCGTCATGATTATACTGTTTTAGGAAATCTGTTCGATGTGCGTAACATCTATTTTCGGGGAAACGTGGAAATAGATGATAGTGAAAGCGAACTATTTGTCAATTCAACTATTGATGAGCTTCAATTTCATGAAGTTAACGGACATATAAATGAGGGATTCTTATTAGGATCAACACTACAACGTACAACCATCTCTGACTCAATTATTAAATTTATTCGACGTGGAGATGTTTATGATATGGATGAGATGGCAGGAATTGGTACATCAGAACTGGATATCATTAATACAACACTGAATGCATTCTCTCCTATACTATTCTCACAGTTCAGTCCAATTACAATTAGCAAAAGCAGGATTACAAAATTGAGAGGAAGCGATGTACACTTCATTCATCATTACTTATCACTGCTTGTGGAAGATTCAATAATTGATTCAATAGAGCCATTCTCATTGAGTCATTCAATAATCAAGGATGTATCATTTATGCGAACTAAGATAGGAAATCTGAGTGGAGCAGCATTTCTTGGAAGTCAAATGGTTCATCTATCAGTTGTTCATTCGGATATAAAGCTCATACAAACAACATCATTTTCCGAATCAATAATAGAAGAGCTATTAATACGAGATAGCAAAATCGGAATAATACAAAGTAAATCATTTGAGAGAGCTCTAATTCGACAGGCTTCCATTGAAAGGTCAACTTTGTCAAAACTGCAACACGCAGCATTCCATAAGGCAACCATTCATCAACTCCATCTTGACAATTCAATTATTCATTCAAGAGAACGAACGGATGCTGGACCATTCTCCAATTGCGAGGTAACTAATACCTATCTTACATATCATTTTCTTTCATAATTAAAATTAGAATATTCTATCTATACATATATAGTTTAGTATAGTAAAGCATGCGTTACTATAGCCTCAAATGAACTTGCACGCAATGTCTAAGTCGCCCTGTTTCATGTACATTTAAGGAAACTAGTTTATTACTTTTCTTTTCTGTCTAACAAAATACAGCAAAATATGTATTTTTTTTTTGATTTTCTTACCAATTAAGCAATCATTTTTGGACAGCAAGAATGACTAGAGGGCCTGAGAATGAATTCAGAATTTGAAGAAGACGAAGAAGAAGAAGACGAAATGCAGGTAGAATTCAGCCCCGTGAACTTGGTAAATCAACAGAAAAAAGGAACGGAAAAGTAAATAAACTAGTTTCCAATATAAAAGCAAAAGTAGAATGAGAGACAGAGAAAGAAGAACTATGTGGTTTCAGAATTAAAAATGTTCAAAAAAGAAATTGCATTGTAGACGTTTTTGTATGAAAGAAGTCAATGAGCTAAGTGTGCATAGATGCTGTCTGATAAGAGATGATTATAGACATGAGGTGTGACAGGCGTTTTGCTTACTACGGCATTTTTTCAAAACAGCATAAACAACAAGTGGAAGAGAAAAAAAAATTATTTTTTCTCCTTGCTCAACATATTTTTTTCTTTGATTTTTACTGTTTTTTTTTGCTTCATCTCAAAACGCCTGTCAAATAAAAGAAAGAAGAAACTGAACAAAAATGGTCAGATGCTGCTTGATGCTCCATCTCTTTCAACTCTCGACACCACTCTCGACCTCAGTTAACAAATAGACGGCGTGCAAATCGCTAAGCTGAAGAATAAGATTCGGATGAACAAAGAGCAACAAAAAAAAATTATATTTTAACCTTTTGAACATAAGGCGTTATAAGGGAGCTTCATTATTGCAGATTGGAACCGCAGCTATACGGAACTGTGCATTTGAAGGATATGTAAAATACTTCTTTGAAGCATTAGAGCCAGTAAGCTTTTCATCTTCTCTTTTTTGTTCATCAAATAATAACTGCTTAAGGTGCGACTGTCGATAGTCGGTAGCACGTTTGAGTGTGATCGCAATGATTGCGAGTTCAACAGTATGATTCTTAACACATCTCCACATCAGCTGTATTGGAAAATGGAAAAGAATACTTGTAAGACGAACGAGAATCAAACAGTAGCAGAGGTGAGAGTGGAGTAAAAAAGCAAATATGCTAATCAGACGGCAACTACTGTGCGCGTCAGTTTTTCATTTGTACGCTTACGTCCGCACAGCACGGTTGTATTGGAGAAGCTGCAACAAACATCATCCACATGATAATCATTCATTTTTACAGATTTGTAAAGATGCTAAAGTAGTCGAGCATGATGGAGTTGTTTGTCGTCAAAGTTGGGCAGTGTCAGACTGTGAATGCACAAACGCCATTTCCACATTGCCATCCACAATTACAAGCTCAGTAGTTGTAATAGGGGATTGCGAAGAATTAATTGTCAACGCTACAGAATTACATGGTAATATTTAATAAACTCATCTATCAAGTATTGACATGGGTTTCCCAATAGGATTTCCATGTTGTCTCAGCTTTTCCTAATATTTGATTTAAAAAAAAGGGTTTTACGATTGAAAATAATAATGAAATGTATTATAGGATTAAGAACATTGAAACTTCTTTATATGTATAGGATTGGAAAGAATGAGCTCATAAAGATGCCGAACAGCTTGAAAGTTCTTAGTATCTATCATTCGAACATCAACATGCGGTATGCCAGATGACTGAATTTGAACACCGCTGTGTAATTGTACTTTTAGCTATGGAGCATGGCATCCATCGAAAGTATCAATAGTTTTTATACAAAACAGTAAAATCTTGGAAATGGAAGAAGGATCAATGTCATATCTCTCAATTGGTCATTTAACATTAAAGAATACATACCAAAGTAATATGAATGATGCAGCAATGGAAGGAACAGTAATAGGTTTGAAGCTAAGCTCATTGAATAAGCCCAACTGAATGAACTGTTTGTAGGCTCTCTCTCTATAAATGGAAGCCGTCTTGAATCATCAGGAGTTTTATTTCGCAAATCACTTCATGTACATATGGAAAACAGTTTATTATTTTCGTCCGACGGAATGACTTCGGTGCAATCGGCTCATTTCGCTAATAACACAATCTTATGTTGTTGTGGATCAGAAGGTGAATAGCGCCAAAAAACACACTCAAACATCTCTATAATCTCTTTCATTTTCATTTTTTCTCTTCTTACTACTGCTGTTGCCCAATTAAGGCTATTAAACGATAGTTGTTCAATTAATTGTTTGCAGACTGCTCAAGAACAACCCTGAAGTGTGGACAAATTTTTCCTCACGCTCGTTGTTATCAACCTAGCCGAACATTTCAACAAACATCTTCAAGTTTATTATTTGGTCCGGTTACAAGTTTTTATCTTATTTTACGGATTTTTTATAACTTTCTTTGAAAAACAAAAAAAAATGCGAATAAATACATATAATATAGAAACTGATGACAAATATGGAAGTCTTCAAGAGGGTTAGTGAAGTAAATGAGTCAAAAATGGAAAGCCTTGAGGAAGTGCGAGGATAGGGACGAAGAATGAGAAGGAAAGGAGAAAAAAAAATGGAAAAAAAGAGTGTTCGAAGTGAACATACTTTGGAAATAGCATGAGTCATGTATTGCATTCGTTCGCTGTCTCTCAAATAAATGCAAGCAAAAAGAACCTAAATAGTGGACAAACTGAAAATGTTATTTGAGCGAATCTTAATTGTAATAGAGAGCAGATGGTCATAGAACGGATACGATATAAGAAAAGAATGGAGAGTACTCATGTACATCTCTGAGATATGTCATACGCTTAGACAGACCAAATGTGCTTTTAAGCCATATATGAATGAATGGAAGCTAGCTTGTAACAATGTCAGCCATGTGACAGAAGCAGTTCAATCTGTGAAGAAATGAACTACACACTCATACGTACTTTCTAATTTCAATGGAGCTGCTACTTTCACACTCTTGTATGCATATGTAAACTTCTTACCAACATATTTTAAAACAATGGATAGATGGATATGGAAGGCTACGAGAAAATCAATATCTATGTTGAAATAACTATTTCATCATATCTATATAAGCCCAGTACAACTGGAATCTAATGAATGGGAGGGGCCCAAAGAGCGAGATGGAAAGCAATTCGTTGGCTCACAACAAGACGCCGTACGATTTGGAACTGCTGTTCCAGGTAATACATGCTATGATAACCATGATTCACTCATGGACGTTTTTTTTACGTCTGTTTCAATGCTGAAAGACCTTACAAAGCATCTCAGCTGAATTCTTGTCTGTAATTTATTTGAACTAATTAGCAACTGCCCAGGAATTGCATGTGTAACGAACACGAAACCGTCTCACTCCGAACCTAATGAACATTCAACCTGATGTTTGTTTTTCCTTCACTACTCCCGCAACCTTTTTTAAAAGACGTGACGATGACGCAGAACATACTATGAGATCTTAAGTTCTATCCAGCTCCACGGTTAATCTAGTGGGTAATACAGCACCTAATAGATGAGATGAGTAGGAAGGGTGAGATCTATGACACGCAAAGCAAAGTACGTTCCTAACCTTTAAAAAACACGGGACAAACAGAATTACCAAGATGTTTATGTGATCATAATGAGAAGAAAAAAGAAAATAATGCATATTATGACAAACTACCCGTAATCACAAAGGTTCGCAAAGAGGCAAAACGTATGACCTTACAGGTTCGATGAAAGGAAGATTTCAAGGTTAAATGATCATTGAGCGAAGAGAATTCTAATATTACATTTTGTGAATGAAGAGAGAAGAGAAAAAAAACAAACAAACAAACAAAAAACCTCCTAATTCATTATTATAATTATAATAGCTAACTAGATAGAACACCGGAAAGGATATGGGAGATGTAACAGAAGCCTCTAGAACAGGATATAGAATGTTGTAGCTAGTAAACATATATAGTGAAGACTGCTTGAGCTATCAGGCTCTTTATCTCTTTCTTCCATCATCCAGCCATCAGCTTTTTCTTCTTCGCGCTTATTATCATCTTTGGAGTCGTCATCATCAGCTGTAATATTATTGTTTTCTATAAATAATATTCTATATAAGGAATTTACATTTCGAAGCTTCCTCATGATAATCGTCTTCAGGATCAACAATATTGGTACTCTAAACAGATATTTGAATGAAACGATGTATTAGTTAGAACTGTCTTACATCCTTTACTTGGTCATCTCTGCGAGGGGGTGAATGATCCCAGTAGTCGTCACTATGACTAAAAATTTCAAATATTATATATTTTTGTTGAGAGATAAACATACTCGTCATCATCTTCTGTTAAAACTATATCATGTTCCTCAGCTGTTTTACGTGCTGCTTCTTCAATGAGCTTAGTCATCGGATCCTTCGGTTCAACATGTTCGGCTTCTTGTGTCGTCGTTTCACTGGCTACTTCTTCGTCAACGTTCTCAGATACACTAGTTTGATCCCATCCAGCTCCGGCTGATTCATCAGTATCTGATTTCTCTTTCCAGTATTCCTCTTCCTCTTTTGGTTTTTCAGCTGAAAACAGTATTTAGAGAGGTCTTTTGATAATGCATCAAGTGAATGCAACCGCTTTTTTTCAGTTTTCAAACTTCAAATGAAGTTAAGCAGAACGCAACAACCGTTTGGAAAACGAATCTTGGATAGGTTACCTTCATTGCTCTTATAGTCCCAGTACTCTGATGGGCTATCTGGTTCCATGTCTTCCTCTTTCAATTCTGAATCATCGGCTTTTTGAATTCCGTTCGAAGCAGGCTCTTCACGTGTGTTTTGCTCTCTCTCCTAAGAATGAAAAAAATGTTTAAGTTCAATAGTACTTTGATATACTCTTTGAAGCTGTTCTTGTTGTTGTCGCTGTTGTTCCTCCTTCTGACGAGCATCGTTTCTACGCATCTCATCATCCTGTCTACGTTGTTCGTCTTGCTGTTGACGACGTTGGGTTTCTTCTTCGCGTCGTCTTACAGCTTCTTCTTCCTGCTGCTGACGTTGTCGTTGGTATTCACGTTCCATTTCTCGACGTTGTTCCTCAGCCTTCGCTCTTTGAGCTAGTTCAGCGGCTCTTTCACCTTCGATTCGCTTTCTTTCGGCCTTCAAGACAACACTTGAATGTGGGGGTTACAAAGTAACATTATTTACCTCATATCGTCGTATTTCCTCCTCTCGACGTTTCATTTCAATTTGGCGTGCCTTCTCAGCTGGCGACACATCAAATCCTCCATTAGATGGCTGAACACGCTGTTGTTCTTGTCTTCGCAACTCCTGAAGAGGCGAAAAAAAGGGTTTTTGTCAAATTCAAGGTTAATTTTGATGAGTGAAGGTTATAAGAAATATACCTCGTCTTGCTGGTTTCTAGATTCGATCTGTCTTTGGCGTTCAACTGCTTGAGCTTCTTCATTACGGCGCCATTCGTGTTCACGTTGACGTTGAGCATCTAATGCTTGTCGTTCGCGAGCTCTAGCTTCTTCTACATGAACGATTATTATAATATTAAAAACTGTGTCGCCAAACCTATTCTTCGCTGTTCCTCAGCTTCTTGTTCGATTTTCTTTCTTTTGGCTGGATCATCTCCAACTGAAAAAAACCCGATGAATGATAGATTGAAGTCTCTTTTTACCTTGATATTGGCAACGATCTCCTTCATACACTCCCATCAAACATATACAAGAGTGGATAGCAGGGTTTTCGAAAGAGAATGCACACATACCACCATTGAGACATCTGGATTTGCATGATATATTCTCATTTCTTCATTATTAACGATATACTCACTTGATTTTACAATTCGATTGAGGGAACACCAATCCAGAAGCTGCCTGAACATCAGCGACTTCTGCGACCAGCAGTAGTAATATCGGAATCAGAATCATTCTTCTTGATATTCTTTTTTTTCGCAAAAAAAGACAAGTCAAAGAAGAGACAAGGTGGAGATGTCTTCTGAATTTGATATCAAATTGAATAATGAAGAATAAAATGCATAAAACAATACAAAACAACATTATGAGAAAGAGAGAGTAAAGGGTGATGGAAAATGTCAAATCAGATGCGACTGATGGCAGTCAGCAGTGGTCCAGCTGCATCTCTTTTCGTGAAGAGTTCGACCCGTGCCCCCTGAGGCGTAATGTGGCAACAACAGTTGGTGTAAAGAGAAGTTAGTGAAGAATCTGTTAGAAGAAGTGTGTATATGTGGGTGATGAAAGTGATGCTTAAAGGGGACGAAAGATGATAATAAGTCAGCTAATCTAACGATGTGTTAGATATTTATCTTTCATTTCAATAAAATCATTTCAATCAAATTCTCATTAGCATATCTCTGACACTAGTTTTACATTGAGACTATCTCAGATGCTTAAAGATCTCATGAGATATTTGATAAGCTCCAAGCTTTAGCTCAATGTGTGATCTCCATGCAATGCTTGAAGGAGTATTAAGCTAACACAGATTATATTTGGGTCACATCGCAATACGAAAGCCGAATGATGTAACGGTTTTAAAGATTTGAGTACATTTGAGATATAAAACGAAATGGCTTCTAGTGATCGGATCGATTTTTTGAATTCTTAAATGATTGAGGAGGAACTTACTTTTTGAACACATATGATAATAGCTGATATGAGAGACAAAAAAAGTGAAAATGATGAAAAAAGCCAAAGAGATCTTTTTGAATATGAAAGAAAAACTAAGTTATAAGAGAGAGAGAGAGAAAGAGAGAGAGAGAGAGGTAAAGAGAGTGAAGGTATGATAAGACGAGACCTGAACTCAGAATCAGATAGAGAGAACTATACAATAAGAAGTAAGTATTGAGGTATATACACTCAGAGAGAGAGAACGAAAAAATAGAAGGAAAAGATGAAACAATACAGAATGAGGTAGAGGGTGGACGAGAAGTAGGGATAAAGTCTAGAGCATTGTGCCAAGAGATATAAGCTAAGAAGCAACTGTTCGTTGGATGGCAAGTCCAAGTGAATAGCATTATTTGAGTCAATTGTTACAAGGAAGATAACAAGCTTTTCGAAACTCGAAACATCACAGTGTCATAGACAATTTTTATTGAAGACATGCATAAAAATAAATTCATTTTTTTAACCTTCAGTTGTTGTTTTGTGAAGGAGGGATATGAGCTGAGCTGTGAAGCAAGGCTGCTTGTAAACGAATACATAATTTGATTAACTCAGCTCTTATGAAAACACATTGCAAAAAGACAAAAGGTCAAGCTGTTTCTGCTAGTTTTTTGATTGCAAAAGCCTCGTTGAACCAGCTATTATCGGCTGAAAGTCATTCAAGCATTACTGTGGGAAATCAAAAGGAATATGCAAATGTCAATTTCATTTGTTTGATCAGAGAAAATGGTTCTGATGAGAATATGTTTTTAATGAAAATGAGAGGGAGAAGAGAAAGAGAAAGAAAAAAAAAAGAGGGAAAAGCCGTCTGATCTGACATGAAAGAGTTGGAAATGAATAGATAGAGGGGAGATGAGGCGGAAGACGTCAAAATCAACTGAAAGACTAAGGAACAATCATAAAACTGTTTAATTAAGATTCACCTGTACTTATACAACTTATTTTAAATAATAAAATGTAAGATGAAAGGTGTGAAATTGAGAGAATGCAAAGATGAAATAAATTGCAAAATCACAAAGTTCTGAGAGATAAAAGGATTTTGAGATGACCTCACCCGGATGCTTTATAGATAAATGACAACAATATTACCTTGCACCTCAACAATTACTTAGGATTTACATAGAGAGTGAGGATTGAGAGAGAGAGTGAAAGAGAGAGAGAGATACATACGAATGACTTTCATTATAAGAGAATTAGATATTTATAAAGAATTAGAAGAGAACAGAAATTCTTTGAAGATATACTTGAGCAGTGATAGAGTGAGAGAGAGGTGTAGAGAGATAGTGAAAGATACAAACATCCCAACTACCTTATCCACCAGAGGGCGGCGCTATATCAAAGGCTCGTTCGAGCAGCTCGTCTGGTCAGCACTTTACATCTTTTTTTTTTTGTCACAACCGATCACTCGAACTAAGACTTGCAAATGAAATCTTAGAATATTTCATTCATCAATCCTTTCATCAGTTGGTGATGTGTGCTTGATGGTCTTAATCACACTAACACTCATCTAACACCCGCCAAAACGAGTGATGAGCAATGAAACTTCCTCATTCACTTCGTCAAACAAATCTGTGGGTGTTAAGGAATTTGAAACTTGTGGAACATTTGAAGAAAGAGTCTGAAGATATCTCATTTATGGCTTTTTTTTGTTCTTTTAAACTGATACGATGAAGGATGAAAAAAATAAATTTTCTCATCTTCATTTCATCTTCACTTGCTGTTCAGCTTTGAAAGAACATTCGCTTTTTTCATTCATTCATTGGTCGTCAAGAAAACAGTTTGATCATTTTTAATTTTTATAAAAAAAAAGAAGAAGAATGAAGTATCTTCTCTCCAGTATCATTTTCAATTTAACAAAGTCTGTTAACATTTATCTCAGTTCCTATGTTTCCATCCATCAGATCATCTCTTATCTCATTTTAAAGATAAGATGAAGGTGGTCGAGAAAATAATCAAAAAATAATTTTTAATTGTATCTTCGGATCTTCAAGAGAAAAATGAGTCTAATCAAAATGTGTTTGCTAACACAAAGTTCATTAATATCTTAGGAGAAGGACAGATCAAGCCAAAGGAAAGCCAATCCTATGATATACGGTTGATATTACAATAGAGCCAACAGAATGTAGTAGAGTTGTAGAATAAGAAATGCGAGCATTAATTTCAAAGATTGAGAGAAGATGAACAGTTCGAGATGAAGGAAAGCCAATAGCATGATATACGGTGGAGATTACAATAGTGTCAACAAGTAAAAGTAGATTTCGTTCCAAAGTTGCCACTGTTTTATATTAGTTTCAAAGAGAAAGAAAAGATGGACAGTTGAGGAGAAGATGGACATTTGAAGATGAAGCGAAGTCAGTAGCATGATATACGGTAAAGAATACAATAGAGCCAACAAGTTAAAGTAGATTTCGTTCCTGTGTTTCCTCCATATTATATTAGTTTCAAAGAGAAACAAAAGATGGACAGTTGAGGAGAAGATGGTCAGTTGAAGATGAAGCGAAGTCAATAGCATGATATACGGTGGAGATTACAATAGAGCCAACAAGTAAAAGTAGATTTCGCATCGTAGTTACCTTCGTTCTATATTACTATCAAAGATTGAGAGAAGATGGACAGTTCAAGATGAAGTAAAACTAATCGTAAGAAATACGACAACTGTAGAGAATAGAATAGACCCAACAAGTCAAAGTTGATTACTTTCGGTAGCTGTGTTATACCTATATTACTATCAAATATTGAGAGAAGATGGACAGTTAAAGATGAAGCCAATAGCATGATATACGGTGAAGAATACAATAGACCCAACAAGTTGAAATAGATTTTGATTTGTAATTGCCTCTATTATATATTAGTTTCAAAGAGAAAGAGAAGATGGCCAGTTCAAGATGAAGCGATGCCAACAATATGTTATACGGTAGAGAAACAACACACCCAACAAGTTTGAGTAGATTTCGTGTAATATAATTTTTGAAGTCGATGATAAGATGAGCAGATCAAGCCAAAGAGAAGCTAACCGTACGATATACGGTTAAGAAAACAATATTGTTAGGAGGTGTTATATAATGGAGTGATTATCTATCTCTACAATCGAAATACAAACTCAGTTGTGATCAAAAGATAATTAATCTTCTTATTTACTGAAATGACAGACAATTGACAATGAAAGTTAGTTGATGATATACTTTTTGTACTTTTCTCTTCATTTTACACCTTTTGACCTCAATAAAAGCCCAACAGAAGCTCTGTTCTGATGAAGGAAGCTATTTGGTTGGAGTCGAACGAGACGTAAAAGAAGAAGAAGAGGATGATGAATGAAGCAGCACAGAGATGTCAAATGTAAACAGTATTCAAACGAAGTTTTTTTCTTCAAAATATTCCTTTCAAACAGTTGATGTTTATGACAAAAGCTCATTTCGTCATTTTTATTGTCAAAATAATTATAAAAACTTAGCAACTGTTGATTTATTTGAAAAAATTGTTTAAAAATCGTTTTTGTATTGAAAATCAACGAGATTTTCCGTTTGCTATGATATTACTAAGTGAATGTGTAGCTGTCAGACTAAGTCAGTGTGAAGCTGAAGATAACTAAGTAAAACATAATATCTTGAAGCATTAATGGTTTCGAATATATTATAAAACGGTCCTAATGAGATTAGAAGTAGAATTGAAATGAGGTAACGGTGTTCCCATATGATTCAACCTGTATGCCTCTTTCATGGCTTTTGTTAGAAACGGTATATGAAAGCAAGTTGATGTTGACAATAGATTATTCATCTAATCGTACTCCTTCTACTTTAACCGCAAAACTATCATTTCGTATTCGACTTCTTCACATTCATATATCATTACTGTAAAATTGCAAATTTTGTGTATCAAACAAAAGAAACAAATGACAAAGTTATAAATAAGAGAAGTGTGTAAAAATGGAAAAGACATGTGAATAAATCATTTGAATTCAGTTGATCTGCTGTTAAAATTTAAAAAAAAAACAGCACAAATTGAACAAGTTGAGAGAGATGGGGGAGATAAAGAAGGGAGAACAGGAGTATGGGTGTATAGAGAGTAATTGAGACAGAGAGAGAGAGAGAGAGAGAGAGAGAGAGAGAGAGAGAGAGAGAGAGAGAGAGAGAGAAGATGAAGAGATATATGAAATTCAACCGCATTCAGCGTCTGCTACAAGAAGCAAATGAATTTGGTCTAGGATGAATACTCACACGTAAAGCTCACGTGGATATTGTAGATGCTAATTTAGTGGATAAGAGCTAACCGTAAGAAATGAATCGTTCAACATGTCATTCATATACCTTCTAAGTGAAGTAAAGTAAAAACAGAAAAAGAGAAAAAACTTCTTCAACTAGTTTAAAAGCAGGAAATCATAAAAGGTATTTGAAGAGTGAAACGTTCTATTTGAAATGACTTGATCAATGGGACAGACAGCTGAATCTCAGCAGCTTCTATGGCTGTGTGGGAGTGTGAGTATAGATGACGGTCATTAATAGACATGAAGTGACAGGATGAATCTGGTAATTAGAATATTGACCATATATGTAAGTGACAACTCATAATGATGGTAATATGGATAAGATTAAAGGAAGATTTGAGCTTATGAATTGATTTCTACTTCAAGTGATGAATCTTGAAACATAATAACTTTTCGCAGATCTTTTCCTCAGCATCATATAGTTTATGGCTTCTCTTGTTGAGTGCATCAAATACATAAATTCAGAAGATGAGAAGCTGAAGAAAAAGATTTCTCTTTTATTATTATGCTATGGATATGCGTGCTGCTTGCAAGTGTAACATTTGAATATGAGATACACCATGTGGTGGTCAGCTTTGATCATTTTTTTTGTACTAAAGCCTTGAGCTTCATACTTATATCTGAAGTTTTCTCATTGCTGCTTGATGTCTGAATGAAAATACCAAAGAATGCTCTATGAATTAAAGATTGAATCATATCTCAAGCTATGAATACTTTACAAAGAGAAATGAAATATAATCGGGTCAAAGAGGTGAGAAGAGTACTTTCGAAGTGAACTGCTTCTTTACAAATTCCCAGGTACAATGCAAGACGCAATTTAAGCCAAGCCATGTGCTCATCTTATCTTTTAACTAAATTATTATACTTTTTAGACCCAAAGAATAGTTATCTTATATAAAAAACAGTCGAAGCCCTTTCAGAAAGGCTGCATCGTACTTCATGCAATGACACAACAGATAGTATTTCATAAAGCAGGGAATCTCATTGTAGGACAATCTACGAGCTCAACTAATCTTTTGAACTAAATTATTTTTTAAAGAAATGTTCAAGAATTAAGGCATAAGAGAACAGTCGATGGTTTTTAGAAAGACTGCATCGTATTTCATGCAATGACACAACAAGAAGTATTTCATAAAGCAGGGAATCTCATTGTAGGACAATCCACGAGCTCAACCAATCTTTTAAACTAAATTATTTTTTTAGAAGTGTCCAAGAATTATGGCATAAGAAAACAGTCGATGGTTTTTAGAAAGGCTGCATCGTACTTCATGCAATGACACAACAAGTAGTATTTCATAAAGCAGGAAATCTCATTGTGAGCCAATTCACGTGTTAAAGTAATCTTGTAAACTAAAATATATTCTTTACCATCTTCAGATCGTATTTGAAGATTAGATGAGAGCTTTTTGAGTTTTCCGATTACGCAAGCTATTTTAAGACTTAATTCTATCCAGCTGTTCCGTAGGATTTTCATTGTACAATCCAGAGCCCTTTGATCAAAGAAATTTTTCCTTTTCAGTACTGCTACAATGACATGTCGATTGAAGGAGAAATGAAATTTTTTTTTGTTTTATCAGCTACTATTTGTTTTTCGTTATATGAAGTACGTACGTAGCAGCCTCGCTACAAGGGCAAAGAATATTTTGTGTTCTACTTTCGATCATGTAGAAATCCAAAAAATTTAAAATGAAACTGTACAAGTTTATTGATAGCCATTTCAAGCAGGAGCACATTTGATTGTTGTTTACTAATACATCAGAAAAACTAAGCATGTAAGAATATTCAAAAAAAACCACGACCAATGGTTTTTTCGGAATGAAAAATATTTTTTTTTTTTTAGAGACATTCGCTAGCAGTGTTCGTAATAGTATGAAGAGAAGGCTGTTTACTTAAACTGTTTTGTTTTTGTTACAAAAAACAAAAACAGAAAACCAATTTAAGATAGTTCTTAGCATCGGCGACAAGTGAAAGCACATTGCTCAGTAGCAGTCTTCTGTTGGGTCTCATCGGTGCAGGCGATTTCGAAGATTTTGCATAATTCAGCTGAAAATAATTGAAAATAAAATAATTTTATTACAAATAAGATGATTACTTCCGGCGGAATCGAAGCATTCTTCAGTTGGGAAACGGGTTTCAACAGTCACATCAGTGCTGGCGCTTTCTTCAGCAGAAGAGAAGACAGCCAAGGCAAGAAGGATGTAAATGGCGATCATTCTGAAAAAAGGAAAAGCTGAGATTGTAATATAATGAGTACGGAATGAAAAAAAAATGGATAAAAAAACGAATGAAAATGTGAATTGTTACAAGTGTGGATTTACAAACCTTAAATAGTCATCCGCATGTTCTCGTGAATGGATTTTGTTGAAATAGCTGGCTATACACTTTTTTCCAAACATTTTCACCTTAAACAGCTGTTAAAATAAAAAAGTTCTTCGTTTGTTTGTTAAATGATTAACTTAGTTAGTGGGGGCAGGATTATGATTGTCGATCTCATAACTTCAACATCACTCCAATTTCAAATATTCGCTCAATTTTTAAAACAGAAAAAAATCTGTTTGATAGATGGACACAATCCGAAAACAATGCAACAGTCATAATCGTCTCATCATCGTCATCATCATTTGCAAGCTGCAGTTAAATGTTTCCAAATAGAGCTAGAACAAACGGAAACTCAAGAAGACATTCATGAGAGGGTCCTTCTATCCCTTTGACTCAAACCGCATTTTCGAATCATGTAACTGTTCCACTCATCCTACGTAAATGGATCATCAACAATGAAATCTACTGTCACAGCCCAAAACGATGGCGAGGCAAGGATTGGATCGTGCAGGACTATACTTAAAACCATTTGCTCGTCTGCTTGAATAATCTACCTCCATATCTTCAATCCTCTCTGATTCTAAACGTTTATTCTCCTCTCGAACAAATCGTACACCCTTCTTAACATAAAAACTGCGAATCATGAATCTTCCTGATATACGAATAGTCAATTCAAAACAACGAACGCTTTCTTCTTCAAAACGACTTCACAAGCTATGGGTATGCCAATCATCTTGTAACTCTAAAATCTGATATAACTGTCAAAACAAAAATGTCTCAATTATTTCAATTATCTATATTGTTTTCTTCTTCGCATAAATGACAGTTGTATGAACCAGTTAGAATCGAGGGTCAGTTCAATATGTTAAAAACAGGGGAAAGTCTATGATACCACCACAGATCCGAGAACATCTCGCGGTCATGCTACCATGAGTACGTGCAGTTGTTTGCTCGTGTTTAGAAACCGATGATGAATACTGAGTCATATCTAATACGGTACTATATTTCATAAAGTGTCAACAATTGTTGTACGTTATTTGGCCATTAACCATTTTTTCTTTAAAATTAATTTTCTCGTTTAACTCTTTGTCTAATGATAGGTGTAAGCAGTGATTCACATCCGTGCAATAATCATTCTCTCTTCTCTCACTTACAGTGAGCGGTGGTTCAACGTATATTGCGTGAAACTGTTTTCATTTTCATTACCTTCTTCTCATAGTTAGCGGTGGGTATTCATGTACTCCTCTGGAGTAGCTCCTATATTATTTTGAAAAGAACGAGAAAAGTGCTCAACGTTATATAAGAATCTTTATTTACAACAATTCTGTTGAAGAATTTCTAGATCAAATCACTTTCTTTCATCACAGCACAAATTTCAAATGTAAATTAAAATTAAAAATTTAGAGATATGATATGGCTAAAGCAGCTTTAAGAGGAATCACTCTATCGGTGATTGGGGTGAAGATGATACACCACTGCTGGAAGTTTCATGCTGAAAACAGAAAAAGTAAGGAAAGCAAGTTACACTGAAATACATACCGCACTATCGTCGCTGATATCTTTGTTTTGTCGTCTTAACACAACAAATCTGATAGGCTGTCCATTTGATGAAGTTATAAGCTTTGTAAGCATTAAGGCAGATTTGAATTGATCTCCAGATCTTTCATTGATTTCCAATAAACTACAAGTTAGTTCAATTATAGGCTAAATCAAGATTCAATTATACCAGTCATGTTCTTTCAAAGCTAAATTAGAACCATTAACTTTGGTTATTTGTAAGCATCCTAAGCGACCATGTGTAACTGTTATATCTCTAGGTGTTAAAGGTGTCTCAACAGCCAGAACCTAAATGACCGAGGTTCAACGAATCATTCTCTCTTACTTGATATCCTTTTAAAAGTTTTTTTTGATAACATACCTGATCATAACTTGTTTGTTTCACTAAATCGAAAAGTGTTCTGTTCATCTTTTTCTCAGCTTTCATTGGTCCGCGCTCACGTAATTCCTTCAACTCAGTCAATATCAAACTTCTTGTTGATGCATCGTTGACACCAAGTTGGGCTAAGAAAAAAGAAAAAGATTGATAAGAAACAGTGAAAAGGTTCAAATTACTTAAACATTGATCATCCCATGAGAGTAGGTCTTCTCCTTTAAGATCATAGCCGATAAGTAATGAAGCCACTTCATCCTGATGAAGGTGCTGTAACCATAATAATACATCATCCAAACACCACTCCTTAAAGCACTTTCTAAGTTTCATTCAAACAGCTTCTTCTATACTTGAATAGCTTTGAAACGCCATTTAGCTTCAGCAGCTTTCTCTTTCGCTCGTCTATTTCTTTTTTTTATAACAATCTTCGCATCATCATAGCTGTTCAAAGCACCAACAGCATCCAAATCTGGACAGCTTTTCCTCAGATAAAACCTTCAATAAGACATAATAGCTATGTTTAGATTGAATGAAAACAATTATATGAAATTATATAATTGTTTGAACTATTGAATAAGCCTCACGTTGCTTCGGGACTTCTTTTCGTCTCAGTATCTTTGGAGCGTAAGACTGCGACTGGAGCATCATCCAACACGATCCGCGCTATAAGTAAATAAAGTATTAATTAAGAATATTATATAATATAGCTAATTACTTGTATAATTATCATTAGATATGTAAGAAGAGCGATTTGGTACAATTCGATCATTTGTTGAAACATCGACAGACTGTCGTTCATTAATCGGTTGAAAGATATCTGAACGACCAGATCGTACACCCGAAGTTTCACTTCGACTACGAAATCCACGAAAGTCTGATAAATTGATGCTAACAGGACGTTCATCACTAATATAATATATGGATATTGATTAATATGTTTTTTCAAGATCATTATTTACCGTCGAAAAGTCTCTTTTGCATCAATCGATGGACGAGCTGTTGATTTTTTTTCTCGGAATGTCCAATTTCCAGTAAAAAATGAAGGCTTACGGCTACTGTAACCAAGAAGACCATTTGAACTGTGGAAAGGTGATAACAAAACCTTTTGGAGAATGTTGTGGATTGTTGGATAGGTCCTGAAGGTACTTCTCTCAGGGTTAGAGAAGAGTTGTTGTCGTTGTTGAAACGAACAAATCGGCGAAGTGCTGGCTGATCATCACATCCAAAGATTCCGGCAACCTTGAATAGCATAAACGTTTCTTTCATTCAAACAAAGAACAAATTCAAATGTACCTCCGGAAACTGACGAGTTCGAAGCATTACCGATGAGGGATTATCGTATTGAGAATAACTTAAATGACGTAAAAGTTAGTTTGAATTACTGTGTTCAGATGTTTACCGTTGGTTTATTGGCTGATGCTTCTGGTAATCACTCGGATCAAAATGAACGTTCGAAACAAAATGACGCGAATGAGGGTTATGAGGGTTATGCTGTCGTTGAGGGAATTGTTGGAAATAGCTTATACGTTTCTTATTTTCCCATTCCTCATCTATCATAGGCTGAAATACAGAAACGGTTATAAAGCTGATGAAGAATAGATTGTTTGAAGAGCTTTCTTCAATTACATTGTACTTCTATGTCAGAAAGTAAATGGAGACAACAGAGAGAGAGACTGAGAAGGTGAGAAAGAGAGGTACAAGCAAATACACGTTTAGAAGGTTTCTTTGTTTTTCAAAACATAAATACACTTGAAATTTTAATCCAATTAGGAGGGAATAATTCTAGTGAGAAAAAAAGAAATGAAAGAGAGAGAAAGCGGAAGGGAAAGCGAGAGAGAGATAGAGAGAGAGACTGAGAGATAGAGAGTAATTTGTTTTTTTTCTAAGTTTTTCAAAAAAGAAAGAAACAGTTCAACGAAAGGAAATCGAATCGATTTCAACAGAATTCTATTGACCTGTCAGACAGAAGCAGATGAGCAAATAATGTTTGTCGTGAATGGTTCAATTAGGTTATTCATGTGCGATCTTCTTCATTTTCTGACGATGAAGCTCATTTGATGAAATGATAGAAGATAAGAAGCAGAAGGAAGACGATCATCATCATGGGTTCAGAGTATATTTGTTTTTCATTTGAATATAAAAACAATTGAAATCCACTGATCGTAGAAAAGACTGAAGAATATGAAAAAGCAAAAAAAGCATAAAGAGAGATAGAGAGAGAGTGATATATGTATAGAGAGAGATGGAAGAAAGAGGAAGAGAGAGAGATAGATGGAGAAATAGAAGAGATAATCGTCGTTGTGTCACGTTGTCAGAATAAAAAAAGAGAATTCATATTCCACCGATATTCCCTCTTTATCTTCTTCTCTGCATTCTCTTTTACTATGTTCTCTTCCATCTTCATTCCATTTCCATGTTCATCTCTCTCTCTCTCTCTTCCTCCTTCTCTCTCTCTCTCTCTGCCATATTCCATCACCGTCCATCAGAATATGCAAATGATAAGCCATTGTAATATGAAATTGGTGGGCAAAAAAAGTAAAATAAAACTAAGAGAATACAATTAACTATATGGTTATGTACATGAATGTGTGACGATTATCATGATTTGTTTGAAAGCAGCAGCAGCAGCAGCAGACCAAAAAAAAAACGACGAAGAAGACGATCATTGAAGACGTCAATGACGTAATCAACCGTTGAATTTTCTTTGACAATGTCTTGACGGAAAAGAAGATACATGTCAAGTAATTATGGGCAATTTGCCAATTACACATTCGAAAACAACTGAACAAAAAACTTTCCAAAAAAAAATTGAAAAAAAAAAACAACAAAAAAGGACGGAAAAAAGCCCTCCAGCTACACCTCTCTCTCTGCCTTCAGTTGCAAGATCGAAGGACAAAAAACTTGATATTTACATAAATAATTACAAATATATTATATGATATAGTTAATCAATTATCGACTGATCACTCTTTCCCTTACCCTCTCTCTCTCTCTATCTCTTCTTCTCTTCCTCCCTCTATCTCTCTCTCTCTCTCCTATGATAGTTCTTTTACGAGTTTTGTTTATTTTTTTCAATTCGCTTTTTACAATAAGAATAAAAGAAAAAAAATATATTTTGATATTTGATGTCCATGTCTTACGTTTCTCAACAGACACTTTTCATGCAAAAACACAATGAAAACTGACTTTGAACAGCTTGAAACAGAATATTTTGGAGGAAAAACTGGAATTACACGCCTCGACTACACACATGAAGAGCCTGAGTTGAGATGGACAACGCGAAAAACCAAAAATTCTGAATTCCTCTTTCATACAACTCTCATACGTATACACACACAGACACACGACCGACAAGAGGAAAGTACGAGTTGAAAGAGAAAGAGAGAGAGAGTGATGCCGACGCTTCTATCTATTCCAAACAGTTTTTAGAAGAAAAATTTTCTTTTTAAAAATTGAAGAAAAAAAAAGAAGAAGAAGAAAGTGAAGAAAATGAAAGCAAAGATGATGATAGAAGCGGTATAACATCTGCCAGTAAGGCTTAGAAGGACGAAAATTAAAAGAATAAAGAACGAAGCTTAAGTTGAAGATTACACTGTTTTTTTGAAAACAATGAGGTTGCCTTATTAGCCGAAATCTTTTTTGTCAACCATCTTTGAGCAGAGAACAGAAGAGTTTTCGCCAAAAAAGGAAAAAAAGGATTGTTCAGCATATGTGAAGGTACGAAGAAGGAATGAGAGTGAGAGAGAGCAAGAGATCGAGAGATGAAAACGATGTAGAAGGGACTGATGAGTAAGGAAGGTGATATACTAACTGAAGAAGGAAGATGACTTACAGTTGGACGAACAGTAACGAAATCTGGTATAGAGGGGGGGAGAAGAGTTAAATGAACATAAAACAATGCAAATAGATGATAAAAGTTATAAAATTATAAATAAATAAAAGATAAGATATGAACTAAAAGTGACAAATAAGACGATGGACCAGTTGATGAAGGACAATTTGCCTTCAGGGGCAGTACTTGCGATGGGTTAATGAAGGCAATTCAAGACGGTTTTTTTCGTTTCTATCTTCTCCGTCTTCTCATCTTCAAAACAACAAAAGATAATTGAAGAAAGTACCAGTTGGGTTATTCTGTAAGCTTCTTCATCATCTTCTTTGAAAATGAAAAATTTGTGGACGAAAGTGAGGATGATGACGATGGGAGGAGTGGGATGCTTGGAAGAAGCAGAAAGAGAAAGAGAGGGAATAGAATATGGTGCAAAGAGGTGGACAGCCTCTTCACAGTCCTATTCTTTTCAACAATTTCTCATTCTCTCTTTGATAACTGTTCATTGAATTCATCTATCGTCTCTCCCTCTCTCCCTCTCTCTCTCTCTTTCTCAATTTGCTTCCTCATTCACTTTTCTCTTTTTCATATTTTAGTTACTAGCATCTAGGAATTTATGAAATCACTTCTGGCTTATGACTTATCATAGACCGGCCACCTCTCGGTCCGTTCCTCTCTCTTCATCCCTTCTTCTCTTCATCCTTCCGAGGTTCTCAGATGTTATGTAAAGAAAAAAAGAGGCGAATTTGAATGTTCTCAGTAGATTGATGTCCAAGAAACAATTGGAAAATTCATTTTCTCAATCATACGAAATTAGATCGTCCGCATTGACCGGACTTTCTTCTACGAAATCGAAGGGAAAGTTTTGGGCTTCCAAAAAAAGGAGATGAGGGTTGTTTCAAGGCTTTATGCAAATTCAAAATGCCATAACGTCATACAATAAGAAAGTTATGAAAGAATGGTATAGAACATGTGGTAAATCAGTCGTTTAACCAAAGAAAACTGGACAAGTGAACAACTTGACATGAAGCAGAAGAAGCTTAGAAAGTCTTCAACTAGGTAGTTACGAGAACAAAAACAGCTTAAGCATTGGTTTTCCAAGTTTCACTCGTCTACAAATGAGTTTTCAGGCGATAAGGAGAAAAAAAAACAAATTCGGTTTGAAATTCCAGTATAAGTATCGGGTATGAAAGACTAGGTGGTTGAAAACGAGTCAGAAGATGAGAAAGTAAACTTATGAGGGAGATGGTCAAAGAGAGATTGTTAGTGAGAGATTTCAGTTGAACCACGGCAAAAGGACTAAGAGAGAAGTAAAGCAAAGAGATAAGAAGGCAGAGAGCGACATAGAGAGAGAGAGAAAGAGAGAGAGAAAGCGGACGTTTTTTTATTGAAGCAGAACAGTCTGTTAATCCATGAGCTGATTGACCATTCAGGAATTATTGTAATCTCAGAGGCAGAAAAAAAGTTTTTTTTTCCGTCAGCTGGAAGAACAAGTTAAGAGAAATCGGATAATGCCTATACTGACATCATAGGTAAATCAATATTCAAACGTTTTTATTGATTTTTACGTGAAAGCTCCCACACGCGCACGTAATGACAGTTTTGCTTATGATTCATTTGAAAACAAACGAACGTTGATGAGCGGTTGCATTTGGTGAAGATGTGGGAGGACAGAAGCGAAAAAGAAAAAAGTAAATTTCCATCTGTAGGGAAATACATTTTTTCAGATGAAGACAAATACAAAGAATCTTTTGTTTCAAACAGTGAAAAAAGGAAAAGAGAGAGAGAGAGAGAGAGAGAGAGAGAGAGAGAGAGAGAGAGAGATAGAGATAGAGAGAGAGAGAGATGAAGAGAGATAGAAGATGTTGTACTAGAAGAGAGAATGAGAGATAAAGACTGAAAGAGAAAGAGGTAACGAAAATGACGGTATCAGATGAATAAAATCTGAAATGACGTGGATGTGCCCTCTGGCGGTTTGAAAAGAAACAACAAAAGGTTTCTGAAATGATGAAGAATCATCTTCTTGATTCAGATGATTTGCATGAAAGAAACATCTGTTGTACTGACATTTTCATTGAGAAGTCAGAATAACAACAGAAAAAAAAAGAAAAAAGAGAAAATAGCCGAAGGGCAAAGTGTACCAAAACCGGATACGTGGAAGAGAAGATGAAAGATGATCGTTTAATTTTTTTTTGTAATGATTAGCAGGCGAAGAATGAGAACGAATAATTAATAAGAAAAGTATTTTGAATTACAGGGTAAGCCGCTTAGTCAAAGTTACAAAGTTGGCAAACAGTCTTGGCTAGTTTACTGAGAAGAGAAAATGAGACATTCTGATCTCACTGTACTCACCGCCTTCATAGATGGAGTTTTGAGTACAAAATGATAAAGATGATATGAAACAACTCGAAAATCGAAATCGCTTCATTAGAAATGAAAGAAAAGTTCAAAAAAACATCTGAAGAGGTGGAGATGATGATGAAGAGAAGCGAAGCTTGAGGTAAAGCAAAACGAAAATGATTTGGCTTCATCTATTTTGGGCTGAAAGCCATAAATGGTAAACGAATTGAAGGTAAAGTTGTGTACAGAAGAAAGAGAATCAGAGAAATGCATATGAAGAGAGATGGTACATGAGAGAGAGAGATAGAGATAGAGAGAAAGAGATGAAACGAAAGGTGAATGGCATAAGAACATTTGACTCTTCTTATGAGATTCTCAAATGGAATCATAAAACATCATTTCCAATAAAGTTTTGGCAAAAGAAAAGATGAGGAAGAGGTTGAAAGTTGGCCAAGTTTGAAAAGGGAAGAGGAAGAAGAAGATGGTGGAAGGAAAGGAAGGAAGGAAGGAAAAAAAGATTTTTTCAACAAACTTTTATGATTTGGCCATAAATGGATAAAAGGAAATCAAGACTGTCTAACATCTCTTCATAACATGCTGATCATCTGCTATCTCTCTGTACATCTTATAGATATGCTAATTTGTATATTCTTTCTTTATTCTCATATACTATATAATAAATCTATGCTATATCTATAGAATTATCGGAATCTCATACAATTCGTATGTTTAATTGAATAATCTCATATCTGTGTATGTCTGAGATCTCTCAAGATCAAAACATCTCTCACATACTGTCTCATATGATGGTATCGAAGAAAAAAAAAGTAAGAAGATGATGTTTATCGGATAACTAGGCCAAGAAATAAAGCAAAAAAGGTAAAACCTCCCTCTTTCTCTTGCTTTGTTTCCGTTTCCTCTTTCTCTTACTTACTCTCTCTCACTCTATGTTGTATGGTTGACATGTCATCCAGCTTCATACAAGTGAAATCACTTCCACTGTACCCCCAATTGATGCTTTCGATTTCGTCTTTCCATAAGCTTGTGAGATGAAGAAATGAAAAGAAAATTAACAAAACTTTCAAACAGGAAATTCCTTTTATGAATATTATTCATTCGAATGGAAAAAATTAAATGAAAACTTGTCAAGTTGTAGAGAGAGGAGGAGGGGGGGGGAGATGCAAAGGACAAAACTTGACCAAATGTCTCCCACCACTCTAGTCCACTCAAATGACTGAGGCTATGAACGATAGAGGAGAAGAAAGAGAGAAACAAAATATGAAAAAAAATATTATAAATTAGCATAATTATATATAATTATTATTGTAGGATGTGAAATTGAATGGAAAAAGCATTGAAACTCACATAATCTGGCGGAGGTTCATAGGGCTTGGCCATGATGATCACTCTGATGGTTTATGATGGTGGTTGTTCTGTAAAAATATTTGTTAAATCCTGAGGCTAGATAAGATGAAAAATAAGACGAAATGGACTGTTTTCGAAAAAATTTTTTTTCGAACTGACCCACCTCTCTATCTCTCTTTATATCTGTTTCTCTCTCTATCTCTATCAACTTCTCTTTGAAGCTTTCATTCTTCTCTGTTTAATTCTCTTCCCCTCTCTTCTTGTTCACTCTGTGTCATTCGAAGTTGTGTTTGTATGATGAACGTATGTTCTTCATGTTTATTTTCGTATATGATCTATCAAAAAAAGAATTAACACACAGAGAATATAAGAAAGAGAGAGAGAGAGAGATTTGATAGAGAGAGAGAGAGAGGGGAGAAGGTATCGAGATAGATAGAATGAGGCAAAATAACTCAAATAAAACGAAGAAAAAAAAGAAGAAATGGAACAAGGAGAAACACAGTTCGTTCATCAAAGAAATGAATTGCAAAAGCTTGAGTGAGGTCATGTTGCTTATGGCCCATAATTGGCAGAAAAAGGATGGAAAACGAACGAATTTTGAAAATGAAAATGTTGCGAACGGAAGAGAAATTGGAAATGAAACAGGTATTAGGTGTTGGAAAAAGTGGAAAAACTTCAATAAATTAAAAGAAAAAAATGGAAGTGAAGGAAGAGAAGTGTAATGAAAACCAGATGTGATTTGAGAAGATTATTCATTAACTTATACCATATAAGTTAATTGTATGTTTGAAAGGAGGACAGACAGACATAAACACAAGTTGTAGACGATGCGAAATAGCAAAAGCCTGATCGGCCGAGAATTTTGGTTGAAGACGAATATGGCGGGAGGAGGAGAGAGATCGACCACACACAACAAGGTATCAAAACAGATAGAGAAAGAGAAAGAGAATGAAACGGACACACTGCGAAATCCGAAACTAAAACTTTTTTTTTTAAGGAAACATGGGAATCACCCGGAAACGTATGGATGAATAGCTTCTCATCGACGTTTGAATATGAAGCAGAAAAAAGGCCTGAAGATGATCAAAAGTAAACGAGAAACACGATTTCGAGTGCAAATTGCTCAAACATACAAGCTGTTCGATGAGATGGAGTAAAAAAAAGAGAGAGAAGAGGGAGAAGCTAGAGAAATTGAAAGGTAGAAGACAGTCTAACAGAATCTATGAGCATCGAGAGCAACTTGAGCTAGATGTAGGAACCAGAAGAGAAAATGATCGAGCGAAGAGCATTACAAGGGTTAAAGAGACCGAATCTGATAAGAGTTATGCAGCAAGCTGTCTGATCAAGAGAGAGAATCTGTATGAAGATGAAGCATGAATTAGTGTGGACAAAAAGACATAAACAAATGTTTAAGAGAGTGACTGTAATGATGAGAGAGACAAAGAGCTTAAGAGGGAGGAGACCGGCTGAGGAAGGTGATGCTTGAAATTGAGATATACACCAACTCTTCCAAGTATGTTTTCGAACTTCCGGATATTAGAGGGAGAGAGAGAGAGAGTGACAGAAAGACTGCTATTGAGGCTGAAAATTATTCAAAATGTGTACGTGAAGCTGGAACGAACGGCACTCGAGGAGGAGATCATTTGCCGTATTGTGAACGATTTCAAACAACAATCTCTGATGACGATAAAGACGCAAACGAAGTAGACGATGATGAAGAGGAGAAAGAAGAAAAAAAATTTTCATAAAGAAAGATGAAATTGAGCGATTAGCTTATTCATTAACTTTTCTTCGAAATCAACAAAACGCCTCAGGCAATGGAGGATTAAAATTTTTGCAAATAAACAGAGAAAAAGCTGCATGTGAGGAGGGGGGGAAAGTAAAGAAGAGATTGTGACGACGTTGCTGCTCCTCTGACGATATTGAGGAGACTGTGTTGAAAGAAGAGTTTTTTATTTTTCCTCTTTCCTCATCATCCTATGCGCAATTGTGGGTTTCACATGTGAGTTTTGTCCTCAGGATGTCACATGGGCCGTCTTGAATGGCGTGAAGGACAGTGCACAAGAAAAGTAACATATAAGGTTAACTATATGTGCATAGTTAATGAAAATGGTAATTAATAGAAACGTAGGCTTGTAATAGATGTATGTGTGGCATACTTTTCTATTTTTCAAAATTTTCTTAATCAAAATTGAAGACAGCTAGCTAGAACACACCCCCTCAGTCACTTGAACGTCGTCAAAGTTCGAAGAGAAAAATATTTGTCGGTCAAGGAGAGAGGATGAGATGAATTAAAAGAGTTGTAATTAGGAAAATATATTCCATAAATGGTTATAAACATATGGTATCAGTCATATAAGAATAGTATTGAGAATTCCAAGGAGGATTCTGAGATTAGCAGAGAATCGTCTGATTCAGAAGATAATCAATGGAGTGGATGGACAGCGTCATTGACTGTTGTCTCATGCATTCTCATCCTATCTATCTGTCCTTTCTCTCATTCTCTCTCTCGCAATCTCTGTCTCAATCACTATCTAATGATTATCAGAAGAATAAGCTTCGCCATCATCATCATAATCATCTTCGTTAGCATCTTATTACTAGAAGCTTCTGCTTAGTTCTCAGTGATGAAATGAACTGAAGACGAAACCAGTTAAAAGTATTCCAACAATAGATGGAAATGGCATATATGGGAATGAAAACGGATAGACAAACAACGAAAAGAAGAAGTTGTAGTTGAAGCTGAATTGATATGAATCTTTAACTATTCATTCGTAGTTCATATTTTCTGTAATGCACGTCAGATAATAACGACGAGTGCATATGGAGGCTGTATAGGCACTGTAAGTGAAACACGCAAAAGGACATGACAGCAGTAAAAGGAAGAAATTCCATTTAAGGAAATAAGGGAGTGAAGGTTTCAATTTGAAATTGAAAGTTTGTGTGTGCGTGTGTGTATGTGTGTGTGTGAACGAGTAAAAGTTAAAAACTTCAAATAAAGAAAATGTTTTTATTTCGGTACAAACAGTGTGCAGATAGGACATAGAGAGAGAGAGGGAAGAAGTGGGAGGGAGGAAGAGATAGAGAGAGGTAAACGAGATGATGAGAAGGCTATGAAGCAGGAAAAAACAAGTGAAGATGCAGGTGTAGCGAGAGGCATGAACTACAAGAGGTACGAAAAGGAGGGAGGCAAAGAGATAGAGGGAGAGAGAGAAGAGGGTATTGCATGGAATTCAAAAAACAACCAATAGCTTCCTCATAATTGGTATTAATGTGTGAAAGGCCTATGATTACAACTTGACGAAACACCTGTCTTGAGTTTTGAAAAAAGTTGGAAAAGTTTTGAGTAACATAGCCGGTTTTGAGGAGAAAATTTTCCTTTTTTTTTTGGTTGAAAATGATTGACATTTTGTATTTTTTGAAGAGAAAGCATGAATGAAAGTCGAAAAATTAGTTTGAGAAGATGAACGATGGTGGGAAGAACTATCATAAGGGAAGAAGCTTTTAGAAAGCTGCCAATCTAAACAGTTTCGTCATCAGAGATGCATGATGACAGGAAAAGCCAAACAAGCCTATTCACAGATTTTTATCGTATAAAGCTTAAATATAAACTTTACAAAAACCATGAAGAATCAGAGATGTTCTTGGAGATTTGATGATCCGGTAAAGAGAGAGAGAATGACAGAGAGAGAGTGAGAGAGGAAGGAAACAGGAAAAGAAAAAAAGAAATACAAACTGAACGACTGAAGAAGAAGAGTTTAAGATGATAGAGAAAGCAGAACACGAAGAAGAAGAAAAAGAGAAGATTAGAAGTTCAAAGGTAGACTATGGGCATTAAAAGGAAACTTTCAGATGAGATATTGAGAGAGAAAGAGAGAGAGCGGCAGAGGGATTCGGAGCGGCGGTGAAGATCATCGAGCTAATTTGCCTAAGAAAACTTATGAAGTAAAAAAAAAGAAATAAGAATGAATTCATTGAGAGAGATTAAATGGGACGATCTTCTGACAGTTTGAATGGTCGGAAGATGTCAGTTCATTGACATCTGAATACCTACTGAGGTATACTTAACATGGATTATCCGGTAATTAACAAAGAGGGTCATCTCTTACTTACTCTCTCACTGTCTCTCTTTTTCTTCTTCAAAAATTAGCAGAAGGTTAGTGGAGATGCTGCTGATGATGAACTGACTGAAAATGCTTGGACTAAGCTCAGCATGCTCATGAAAATGCTCTTGAGAAGAAGCTTTTTCGTCCGCTCTTTTGATTGTTTTAAGCCTTGTTTCTACCTGGACGTCGCCTCGACCCAATAGCACTTCACACAAAATGAAAAAGAATGAAAATACACACAAAAGTACTTCAATGACTAAAATATTTCTGAAAAAAAACCTTTTTGAACATCAAAAAGGAAAAATCTAAAAAGAGGGCCACTCGAACACTCCCTCTTAAGCTCTTCCTCTCTCAGATCTTCCTTAGTCACTGTCGCACTCTCTCTCTGTCTTCCTCCCTGTATAGGCAACATGTAAGACACAACATGGCTGGCAGTACGACGAACGACCTCCAACGATAAATTTCGGGAAAAAAAACCTTTTTTTTGTAATAAAAGTAATAAAAGGAGATTTTTTAACATTACAATCGAGAATGAAATACAATTTCAAATAAATCTCGAATGGATTATCTGTGATTACTGTAGATGGCTAATACCCACACATGTGTGTTCATATGGTTTCAAATAGTATTTCACTTACTATGTAGTTATAAAACTTGTTTTTTTAAAATAAAAACTTACAAACAATACTTTTAATGGAATTTCATTGATTGAATGGAGAAAGAGGGAAAGGTGAGGGAGGAGGGATAGGAAAGCGGGTGTATAAGGATCAATGAGAAGTTCAATGCTGCTGAACACCATGACACGGGTCACGTGAACTGTATGACTTTCACACTTATTTACACAATCCATCTGAGTAAAGCACTTCAGAGACATGATTGAATCTCAAAAAGCTGAATACTACTGACCATGTTTAGTTAATGGTTAAGAGGGAGAGAGAAAGGTCCTTCCTCTACGATTTGGCTTGAGAACTACCTATGATCTCAACAACAACTTGTACCAAGACGGGATACAGTTCACCAATAGGTGAAGCAATCTGATTGAGCTGTGATGTGCTAAGAAATCATACAAACCTTAACATAAATAAATTCGAATCATCATATGTGTACACCCAAACAACCGCCTCAGAAGTTTGAAGCCTTATCAATCAGGATGGCCTTACATCTGGACAGTGCTATTGATTCAGAGTGCCCTTTAGTGCTATCCGCTTATCGCATCCCATTGAGTGTTCCAAAATCCGTATTTCATACCTCATTCAAAATTTTTGTGATTTTTAAACAAAACTCAAACTGTTTGCAATGTATCTAATGAGAAAAGCTTTTTTCACTGTCCAGCTGGCAATAAAAAAGGATCAAAAGAAGGAGGAGTAGGAGGGGAGGAGGGAAAAAGAGAAGCAGAATGAGAGCCAGGCAGCATTTCGATTGCAACAAATTCCATTTCATTAGAAGTGTCATAAGCTAAGAGAGAAATAGCTTCTTATGTTCTTAAAAGCTTGAATGTTTTAAACTTTAAGCTTATAAATATGAATTCTACATATGGAAAAGGAAAAGAAAAGTTTATACAAAAGTCTCAACATGTGTTGTCCATATGCACTTATGTGTTGTTTATAAAATATACATTTGTCTCGTTCTCTCTTGAAAGCTTTCAAAAACGATTGAAACATACACTGTTATCTCTCTCTCTTAACCATCTTACTCTCTCTATCTGTTCCTCTTATACTCTTCTCGCTCTCTATAAAGTCCATTTCAAGGATCTTTGAAACTCTCTATGAGCTTCTTTACTGTCTTTAGCGAATGTGCAAAACTTTGTCAACTTCCTTCATTCAGCTCCCCTTCTCCTAACACTTGCAAACAACATATCAAGGTTACTGCATGTTGTAAGCTAGAAATGACCTTTTCCTCAACTGAAAATGCTGAACAGACTGCTCAAATTTCAGGACACCTTCTCTCTCTTTATTATATTCGTTCCCTTATAAGATGATTCTCTTTCAATCTTAACATTCTTCCTTTAAATGTTTCATCTTCTAGTTCTCTTTCTATAATTCTCTCTCATCATTCCCTTCTCTCTATGTCTCTCTTTCTCTCTCCCTTTTTGTGTGCACCCTTTGAACTTTCAAATATTCTGCAACTTAGTATATCTTTAGATATCTCTTAATGCAATGCTATTTCTGATTTTTCCTCCTCCTACTTTCCCTTCCATCATCATCCCAAATGTTGATGGACGATTGAGAACAGACAGAATCTTAACGGATGAGCAGAAGAAGCAGCAGCTGTAATGTTTTTTTTGTCATCTACGACGCCATTTCTGTCCTCAGTCGGCTTTAACTTAGCCTGTGATGAATCAAATTCTTTTCTCTTTCATTTTTATTTTCAACAAGATTCATTCCTTTAATATCCTAGTTAGCTTCTGAAGCAGTTGTCTTCAATACAAAAAGGTTTTTCCTTTCATTTTCTGCATTCAAGTCGTTATTAGTCGTCAATGTTCATGTTTTACTCTTTTAATTCATTTTTCACTTCATAAAGCTTTTTAAATGTTCTCGGAGATTGGTTACCTTCCTCTTTGACTATGCTCTTGAAAGTTGAACTCGTTTTCATTCCTGTTCTTACATCTATTTTCCCTCGTAAATAATTTCTCTCTCTCACATCCTCCCTCTCTCTCTCTCACCTTCTTATTGCCATACTGCTGTCTCTGTTAACCACTTTTCTAATCATCATATATGCTCTTCTAATTTCCATACTGTGCTCTTGAACTTTTTTTTGCACAAAAACAGTTTAAGAAGCAGAAGGTGTTGGAATAAGAAACAGTTGGTTCTCTGAGGTCAGAAGGACGAATAGCTTCGGTCAGAATATCTTCTGATATTCCATATGAAATTGAGAGATTGGATAAAGAACAGTTGGCGATAAGAAAGAAAATAGTTAGGAGAGATATGAGAGTTATAAGAATAGAGTAAGCTTAAATCGAGATGATAGAGAGAGAAAGGTTCAAAGAGAGAGAGAGAGGGGGGGGGAGAAAAGAAGGATAAGAGATGTCAGACAAGACAATGATGTAGTGAAAAGTTGAAAAGCGACAAAGTTTAGAAGAAATCTCATAAAGCCCTTTATCAGTACATCCAATGAACTTTCCTAAAACCCACTTCTCTTTCCCCATATTTTTAGTCACAAAAACTGTTTTTGGCTCATTTTTTTTGCATTTTCATTTGAAGCAAAAAAGCCTTCTCGTAGACATCTGTCAACATCTTTTTCGTTCGGAAATCGAAAAAAAATGATAGAAAAGATACTTCTTTCGTTGAATTTACATTTACTTTTATATGAGGCGGAGCTGTGAAGCCTGCTCCAATTGAAACTACCGTAATCCCTTAGTTGTCTGAGCATAGATTGAATGAGATGTACCATCTACATGCTATGTAGAAATGCCAAAATAAGAAGTACGGCTATCGTTCGTAGTCTCATCCTATAGTAAGCTTTAAGAATAGAAGATTGGAAGAGAAAGAGGAAACGAAAAGAATGACATGGTAGGTTCAGATTGAAAATAAGTGACTTGTTGACAAAAGGCTCATATGTTGAAGCGGATTGAAAGCCTCAAAGGATGAAAGCGCTGATTGTGAAACTTGGGCAGAAGACATACAAAAAAACCTTTTTTTATCTTTGTTATCTTTAATTCTCTCAATCATTTTCATTATTTACAATGAAATTTAGTCATTTGTATCTATTCTTCTCTGATTCTCATCTAATCCATTGATATCTCTATTACAACTATTCCTATTTCTCTAACCGTCTCTTCTGGTCTCTCACATTACAATGATGTTTTCAAATATTTTCTCTCATTTCTTCAGACATCTTCGAGCTTTTCACTCAATTGCATAGGGGCCAAACCTTTCTCAGCTTTTACTAACGTCCCATTTCTCGATGTAATCTTTTTCGTTATCGTTAACTTTTCTTTATTATATTAATATAATTATTGATAATGATCATCGTCTACCATATATCTCATGAATCCTCTCCTCTTCCCCTTTCATATCCTCCTTACTGTATTCTTTGAAATTTTTTGGAACAGCCACTTTCAGTATAGTATACGTTTCTAATTGAACCATTTGTAGATCCCTGGGTTATAAGAGAGCAGTCGGAGGTTTGAACCATGTGGATACGTGGTCTCCTCCTGGCTCTATGCCTATACTCCTTCTATCCGGAAGCGTATGTTAAGCATATTCATAACATTTCTTTATAACTATCTTTCCAGGAGGTTTACAGAAGCTGCTGCTTGTAAAGGTTGTGCCCCACCATGTATTTGTCCCGGAACTAAAGGAGAGAAGGTAATTAGCATATCGAATTACATTTCCTCATTCGATTCATTTTTTGTGATTTTTTATTGATTTTTTCGTTTTAGGGAGTTTCTGGTTTCATTGGAGAACCAGGTCATCCCGGACCTCCAGGGTTAGATGGACCCGAAGGAGCTGTTGGTGCTCCTGGTATGTTCGGATCTGAAGGAGACTTCGGAGATATCGGATCAAAGGGAGTTCGCGGAGAACGAGGTAAAAAGAATCTTCGCAAAAATTTTCACACACTATTGCTTCTTAAGGACTTCCTGGATCACCCGGATATCCAGGTTTACCAGGTTTAGATGGTCCACCCGGTTTGAAGGGAGAGGAAGGTATTCCCGGATGCAATGGAACTGATGTAAGTTTACTTATTCCCTTACTATATGCATTATGTGATGAAAGAGGAAAGCACAAATAGATTATTATCATATAATTAGTCATAGTTTACAAAGAAAAATGCTTTTCTCTTCCTTATTCTGTACTCTTCTGCTGTCTAACTATCTGGTTCTCTTAAGTAATCCATATCGTTTGACATGATCTCATCTTATACATTGCCATCGTCTGCCACTCTATCTCTATCTCTCATAATAATCTGTTCTATTTCTTACTCTCTCGTTATCTCTTCTTCTCAGATATCTCTTTTAGTTTGTGATTATCTTTTGAGCTATTATCTGTTGTTTCTCTCCCGTTCTTAGCTCATCACTCTGTTCAACCTCTGGCTCCAATCAAAGAAGCTTTTCATATGCAGCTTTCTGTTGTAACAGAGAGGCCACATAACACAAGGAGGCGTTTATAAAGAGAAATCTTCGAAGTCGATTTGTAGCAGGCAGAAACGAAATAATGAGGGGAGCAACAAAGAGATAAAAGATGAAAGCTTGGCAGTTTCATTAAAGCGAGTTGATGACTCATCTGCTCTATCATGATCATTCTCTCATTTTCATCCATTATCAATCAAATATCAATTTAAATAGCTCATTAAAGACTTTAAGATCTTTTTTTCTCTAATTTTGCAAATAGTCAAACTTTCTGTTTATAGGGTTTCCCTGGACGACCAGGTTTGGCTGGACCACCAGGTTTACCCGGAGCAGCTGGAAATGCCGGACGTCACGGAACCCCTGGTCTTCCTGGAGAAGGAGGTTATATTAGAAATCACAGATAATTTAAAATGTTCATTAATTTCAGGTATCAATTCTATTGGACGTCGCGGAGAGTCTGGAGAATCCGGTATGCCTGGACAACCTGGTATCAACGGACGTGACGGAAACCCTGGACACAAGGGAGCTAAAGGAGACCCTGGACCATATGGACCCCCAGGTTTCCCTGGAGCTCACGGAGAAAAAGGAAGAATGGGAATTCGCACTCCTGGAGTGAAAGGAGAGAAGGGAATGCAAGGAATGGCTGGTCCATCTGGACCACCAGGATATTTCCCAGGAGCTTCAGCACCTTTAGAGCTTGAAGTTCTGCAAGGACCAATGGGACCTTACGGTTTATTTTGCTTAAAGTTAAATTTGGAATAGAGTTTTTCTAGGAGGAAAAGGAGAAAAGGGAAGAGATGGACCAGTTGGTCCACCTGGAACTTCTGGTGCTGAAGGATTACCTGGTTATCATGGCTTCCGCGGACAAAAAGGAGATCCAGGAGATGCTGGAAACCGAGGAAAGAGAGGAAAAGACGGAATAACTGGAACCTATGGTGAAAAAGGATCTCAAGGAGAGCTTGGTTTGGGTGGATTACCTGGATATTCTGGAGTAAAAGGAGAAGCTGGAGAACCTGGTTATCCTGGTCGTCCAGGTTTTGAAGGAGATGTTCGATCATCTAATATTATATTTTTCTAATTAACTGTTCAGGCTGGACCAGCAGGTCCATTTGGTGAAGGACATGGAGACCCCGGACCACGTGGTTCTCAAGGTCTTGATGGAGTTCCCGGACCTAAGGGAGATGCTGCTCTCGATGGACTGCCCGGACCAGTAGGAAATCGTGGAGCTATTGGAGCCCCAGGAGTTCCTGTAAGATATAATTGATTCAAACTGAATATTACGTTTGGTTCAGGGTCCTGATGGTGTACCAGGATTACCCGGATACACTCAGAAGGGAGATCGAGGAGATGATGGATATCCAGGATACCCCGGAAACAAGGGAATACCAGGAGAGGATGGAGATTGTGGTCTTCCTGGAGAAGATGGTCCACCAGGTTATGATGTCCAGGTAAGATAACCAATATAAACGATGAAACTGTTGAAATATAGGGTCCACCCGGACCAGATGGACAATCTGGACGTGATGGATATCCAGGCTTACCAGGAGACGTCGGAGATGCCGGATACCCAGGAGAAAAAGGTTTCCCCGGAACTGGTGTGAATAAAGTTGGACCACCAGGAATGATGGGTTTGGTTGGAACTCCAGGAGAAAATGGTTATTTTAAACATATTGCGACTCTCAGTAACTTAATATATTTCAGGAAGAATCGGTATCGATGGTTACCCAGGAGCTCTTGGAGATAACGGACCTACTGGAGATGACTGTGGTTATTGCCCAGACGGTCTTCCTGGATTAAAGGGAGAACCAGGACAGCCAGGAATTGATGGCTACCCTGGCCCACCAGGACATGATGGAGAGATGGGAGATTGTGGATTACCTGGTCTCCCTGGAAAACCGGGTCTGTCTGGAAATGACGGATTATCTGGAGCTCCAGGACTTCCTGGTATTCCTGGTTACCCCGGTCTCAAAGGAGAAGCTGGAGAAATTATTGGCCCAATGGAAAATCCTCCAGGAATGGATGGATTGAAGGGAGAGAGAGGACCCGGAGGTTTGATTTTCCGTAGCTTTCAAAAAAAATTAAGTTTCCAATGTTTAGGATTCCCTGGACTTCCTGGTATTCCTGGTAAAGATGGAGCTCCTGGTTTATCTGGAGAGCCTGGTCTTCCCGGATACCGCGGAGAAAAAGGTCTCGTTGGTATTGATGGAAAGCGTGGTCGTGAAGGAATGCTTGGAATACCTGGTGCCCAGGGACCTCCAGGAGATAGCTACCCCGGTCAACCAGGAGAATCTGGAGACTGCGGTGAACCAGGAGCTAATGGTCTTCCCGGACTTCCTGGTGCCCAAGGTCCACCTGGTATCCCAGCCCCACAGAAAGTTCTTCAACAGCCTGCTGGATTACCTGGTTACGATGGTCTTCCCGGATTTGATGGACCAAATGGTCTTGATGGTCTTCCTGGTCTTCCAGGACCTGTAAGTGAAAAATAGTTGTTTATTTACTGATTTGTTTTCTAGGCTGGACCTGATGGATATCCAGGTATCCCCGGTGAAAAGGGAGCTTCTGGTCTTCCAGGTTTCCCAGGAGTTAACGGGGAACCAGGACATCGTGGACAGCAAGGAGAAGTCGGTTTCAATGGAATCGATGGAGATTGCGGAGAACTCGGAGAAAATGGATACCCAGGATTACCTGGAGCACCAGGTCTACCAGGAGAGCCAGGATATGGCTACCCAGGCCAAATTGGTTATCCAGGTCCAAAGGGATTGAGTGGTGACAATGGTTACCCCGGACAAGATGGTCAACCAGGACGTGATGGTTTACCCGGACTTCCTGGATATCCAGGAGAGCCCGGAACACCAGGTTTCGAAGGACCAAAGGGTCCTGACGGCTATCCTGGAGAGAGAGGTCTCCCAGGACTCGATGGCAAACGTGGTAGACCAGGTATGCTTGGAAGAGATGGTAACCCAGGACTTCCTGGCTTACCTGGAGCCAATGGACAACCTGGACAACCTGGATACCCTGGTGAAGATGGTGTTATTGGATTCCCTGGACTTCATGGATCTCCTGGAGATAACGGTCTCCCTGGATTAGATGGAGCATTAGGAGAGAGCGGAGATCAAGGACCAGATGGATATCCAGGACTTACTGGAGAAAATGGACAAGATGGCTATCCAGGAACTCCTGGAGCAGAAGGGTTACCAGGTCTTGCTGGAGAACCTGGAGACTCTGGATACCCTGGTGGAAGAGGTTTACCTGGAGATCCTGGTGCTCTCGCCTATCCAGGACTTCCTGGAGATGTCGGATACCCTGGACCAGAAGGACCAAGCGGACTATCAGGAGAACCAGGATACCCAGGAGAGAAGGGTTACCCCGGAGATGTATGTTTTATATTTTTAAAAATTGTTTTTCAATAAGCTTTTTTTAGAATGGAGAAAGTTATCCAGGACAAAATGGAATTTCTGGTCCACCTGGAGATCTTGGATACGATGGCTTGGATGGTGTACCTGGTATGCCAGGAATGCCTGGTATGACTGGAATGCCCGGACCAAAGGGAGAAACAGGATTGGTCGGAGTTCCTGGAAAGCAAGGACACGATGGATTACCAGGCATCCCTGGTCCTGAAGGTGACTGTGGTGAGGAAGGATTCCCAGGACTCTCAGGACAACCCGGATACCCTGTAAGAATAGTCTTGCAAATCAGTATAAAAAAACATATTTATAGGGACTCCAAGGACGTGAAGGAGAAAAAGGTTATCCTGGTATCCCAGGAGAAAATGGACTTCCTGGTCTTCCCGGAACTCCTGGTGCTCCTGGATTAAAGGGAGAAGCTGGATTAGCCGGAAACGATGGATATCCTGGACAACCTGGATTACCTGGAATTATGGTACATTTTTTCATGATTTGTTATTATGATATCGAAAAATTCAGGGAACAATTGGATTACCTGGTCCTATGGGATATCCTGGAGATTCAGGATTACCTGGACGTGAAGGAGCACCTGGAGAAGCTGGTTATGATGGAGAAAATGGTCCACCTGGCTTACCTGGACTTGCTGGAGACGAAGGTCTCCCAGGACCTAATGGTCAAGATGTTTATGGACCAGAAGGACCTGTTGGCCCAAGTGGATACCCAGGAATGGATGGAATGCCAGGACAACCTGGTCTTGAAGGAGAATGCGGTGATGAAGGATATCCAGGACAACCTGGACTTCCTGGAGAGCCTGGTCTTGTTGGAATTGATGGAAAACGTGGTCATGATGGTATCAATGGATTACCAGGACCAGACGGTTTACCCGGAATTCCTGGCCCAGAAGGCGATTGTGGAGAAGAAGGTTTACCTGGTTATCCAGGAGCTCCTGGAGCCCCAGGACTCAAAGGAGAACAAGGTTGATTATTGAGGATTATCTTCGTATAACAATTTGAACACTTTAGGAGATGATGGTTTACCTGGAATCAGTCCACCACCCGGTACTCAAGGATACCCCGGAGAAAAAGGATATCCTGGAGAGAACGGACCACCCGGCTTACCTGGTCCACCAGGAAAAGCTGGATATCCCGGTGCTCCAGGCCAAGATGGATACCCAGGACCACCAGGAACACCAGGAACTCCTGGCGGATCCGGAGAGGCTGGAGAACGTGGTCTTCCAGGCCGTGGAGGACTTCAAGGACAACCAGGACAACCTGGTTACCCTGGAACTCCTGGAGGTTGGGCTCCAAGCCGTGGATTCACATTCGCTAAACATTCACAGACTGTTGATGTAAGGAGGATGAAGCGATAGCCTAAAATCTCTATTTTGAATTTCAGATTCCACAATGTCCAAATGGTGCTCAGCCACTCTGGACTGGCTATTCTCTTCTTTATGTACAAGGAAATGGTCGCGCTAGCGGTCAAGATCTTGGTAAGATGAAAGCAAACTTATGATTACTAACTCTATTGAATATTCAGGTCAACCAGGTTCATGCTTATCTAGATTCAACACAATGCCATTCATGTTCTGTAACTTGAACTCAGTTTGTCATATCTCTTCACGTAGTGATTACTCCTTCTGGTTGAGCACAGAAGAACCAATGACAACAATGATGAATCCTGTGAGTTATAACTTTTTCATTATCTTATTTATCTTCTTATATGTTTATAGGTAACAGGAAGTGCTATTCGCCCATATATTTCTCGTTGTGCTGTTTGTGAAGTTCCAACACAAATCATAGCTGTACATTCACAAGATACCAACGTTCCCGAATGTCCAGCTGGATGGAATGGCTTATGGACAGGATACTCGTTTGTTATGGTAATAATATAATAATATAAAATATCATATATTAATATAAAATCTTTTTTTAGCACACGGCTGCTGGAGCTGAAGGTACCGGACAATCATTACAATCACCTGGTTCATGTATGGAACACTTCCGTGCTGTACCATTCATTGAATGTCATGGACGTGGAACATGTAACTACTATGCTACGAATCACGGATTCTGGCTGGCTATTGTTGATCAAGTAAAAATCAATTTAGTTAATTAACATTCAATTATATCTAATCAATTATAGGATAAGCAATTCCGCAAACCAATGTCACAAACTCTTAAGTATGGAGTAATCAAGGATCGCGTGTCCAGATGTCAAGTTTGCTTGAAGAATCGTTAATTTTTATTCTTTTTTTTCATCATTTTTTCATTAAATAAAACAAAAACCTTAATATAATTATGTTTAATTGCCATTACAATGCTTTCAAACAAACAAAAAATACAATTTCACCTGTTTTAGCCACATTTCATATTTTCTTGCGCCCAACTTCCTTCATACAATCACTCGAAATACCACATGTTTGTCTTTATATATTGTTCATTACTGCATTTATAGATAAATATTATTAATATTTTACAAAAAATAATAAAATTTACTTCAAATCAGTCGTTTACACATCATCAGCATGTCTCTTCTTCATCTTCCCATTCAGGTACAACCGATTTGCGCATCTACAATACACTCAAATGAACTTCATTACATAGCGTAATGTACTTAACGGTAGATTGCGTATCCTCAATTAGCATATATATTGATACCTCAATGGGAGTTCAGATGACTATAAAGTTTTTTTTTTCTTTACTGTTTTTTTTTATTCTCTTAACGGTAGAATAATGGAATGAAAATGAGAATGATTTCAAAAAGGAGAACTGTCCTTGTTTGTCCGAAGCCCTTATCCATTTAGTCCGTTCTTTAGTCAGTCAGCCTCATCTCATTCTCTCTCTCTCTTTCTCATTCTGTTTCTCTATATCTCTATCTCATTCATAGTCTATATCTTCTGTCCTCTTTTCACCTTTCTAGCTCATCTTTCCATCGGCTGGTACTCCTCATCAGTTGGAGGTGATTATCAGTCTTTTCAATTGCCTTGACCTACTCCTAATGACCATTTCCTATTCCAACTTTGTCTTTTCATCTCTAAAACATTTCATTTCCATCTTCATAACCTAACTGTACTTTTCATTTTTAACAATTCTTTCCCCGGTCATCATTCATGTCCATCTCTCTCACTCAAATGTTTTTTGAAAGTATCATAATTACCATTCTTCACCTCTGTCTATCTGTGGGGAGATATTTCGAAACGACTATAACATTGAAAACATCTCATAGTTATTCATATGAGTATTATCCAAGGTTTTTTTTTCTTCATCTGAATTTGTTTAGTTGGAAAACTAGAATTTATCGAATAAAATGGATTCATTGATGCCCTGAGGATATCCGGATTACTACCAAATCGCACAAAACTAAAAATTTCCAAGTCAACACTGTCCAGCCTATCCTGCAATTCGTTTCTGAACATCTTCGTACAGAATAAAGACGAAATCTGAACGTCTTCGTCATATCCCTCACATACACATCGTACCTTCCTTTCGCCTTTTTTTTTCCTTTTTTAATTCTTTTTATAATTCTAATCCAATTATCAACAAGTTTTCGTAATTCCGTTTATCCCATAATGTGAGAAAAGGAAAAATGAATGCGAAGCCACTCTCTTTTCATTCAAATTTATTTTTTTTTTGATTCCAAAAAATAAAAAAAGACTCTTTCTCTTTCACTTCATCTGTGAGCAGAGATTCTGATTTGATCGTTTAGTCGGCCATTTCATCCACTTAACCTTATTCTTCCTTCAGATTATATATCCATCAATCGCTATTTCAACAAAAGTTTTGTTAAGAATATAGAAGATATACAGATGTGTACCATCCCTATGAATGATTCTTGATTCTTGTCTTCTGATGCTTACCATTCTCGTCATCTTTTTCATTTTTTAAATATTTGACAAGTATGGAAAAAAAAATTTTTTTTTTTGCCTGTGGAAACTGTCAATCAAACATAAAAAGGCCTTGACTGCATTAGGTCATCCGAAGGTGATGATGATCATTCACATTGCTGTTCAGACTTCGTTCGTTCGGTCAGCAGTGGAAGCTTCACCGTATTATTCTCGAATACAGTTTCTTAGATTTCTTTTATTCAACATTCCTCACTGTTGTCTTCGCAACTTGAAGACCAGCCTTCTCAGCCAGGATTGATGATGAGAGGTGATGACTGAAATCATTTGAACTTAATTGAAATAGTCATTGATCTTTTAGTTTTTTTAAAACAAAAAATATCTTCGGTTGTACCATTTATGACTATTACCGCACCCGACTCGACAACCCCTCTGTTCATCTTTGTTCTCTCTTTCTCTCATTCTCCCGGTTAGGTACTCTCTTATCTGTATGTGATGAGTGATATGCGATTTTACTATATCTGACCTTGAATTCTTCTTCATTCAGCCATTCTCCTCATCGGCTTAGAATTTGTCGAAGAGCGTTGCGATCGTTCAGACGACGTCAAGCGATTTTCTCCACATGAATCTTCATTCGATGACGAATAGCCTGAGGCGCTTTGCTATAGTTTTCCAAAAATAATAGTCACCTGTATAACATTCTCTTTTGTATAACTTTATATTCCGTCATTACACTCAAATCACAGCTGATTTTTTCCAGTTCTTAGCGGAAAGTCATTCTGATCTTCGTTTTTTTTTGTGATCAAAAAAAAATGAGAAAAAAAAATCTCAAACGGCATTTTGTGTAGATGATGATGATGAAGCATCGGATGAAGCGATTTCTAAATCAGCATCTGACTCATCTACCCAGTTTCTTATCCCTCTACAATCAGACAAACATCCAAATTATCAATGCTTATAAGTCCAGCTTAAAAGTTTAACAAACTGGAAGATCTATGCGTAATGTAATACCAGTTCGTTGAAAAGCTTTAAATATTTCATTTAAGACTGTGGTCATCAAACTCTGAGAAAAGTCAAGAGAGTGAGAAAGATAGAGAGAGAGTAAGAGAGTTTAAGTGAGAAATAAAATAAAAACTTCTTCCGTTGTTTCTTCGTTTACCTTTACCGAATGTGTTGGAACGTTTGATTTTGTGTTAAATCTTGATTGGTATCGTCTACAACTCTCTAGAAGTCTTTAGAAGAAGGAATTGAGAGAGAAAAAATAAATACTGAGAGAAGGCAAAAAAAAGTTTTTTCATTCCCTTCTTAACTGTTCCGTTTGGACTCGACCGTCTTTGTGTTCTTCTACTTCTACTTCTTATTCTGTTCTTCTTCTTCTTCTTTCACTTGCATTGCCTTTCTAGCATGCGTTATTAGCTTTCTTTATAATTTTATATCGTATAGCTAATAGTTCCTACAATGGATGGGTTTGTCATGTGTGTGTGTTTCTATGAAAATTACATGAAAATTTCCATTCTAACTGCACTCACTCACTGCTGCTGACTGGATTCATTTTCTTCTTCAATCTAGGTTATAACCCTTTACATTCAAACCTTCTCACCTCTCTCTCTCTATATATATCTCTGTCACTATACTTTCATATCTCTCTCTCTTTATGTCCATTACTCTCTCTTCAATTCCGTTCCCTCTTTTTTCCCCTTTTCTTCCTCTAACTGGCCAGCCGTCAAGAGATACCCAGTAAAGGAACCTCTAGTAGCATCTACCGATGTAATGAAGGATACATTGCTAGATCGGACGAGCTGTTTATGTATCAGCCGAAGAAGGGAAAAGAGAGAAGAGAGAGAGAGATGGGCATAGAGAGAGAAATAACTATATAAGTTTTAGATAGAGAGGGTATGAGTAGAGGAAAGAAGAGAGAGAGAAGATAGTTAATGAATTTCCAAAGGAATAATCATTCAAAGACAGACAAACATTTTCTTGGATTCAGGTGTCAACACGCCCCATCTTTCGTTACCATCATCAACATCAGACGATTCAATCAAAGAAAAGAAGTTTTGCAAAATGAAATTTAAAATATTTATTTGTTTATTCATTATTATTTCGTTAACAATTGATGTGAAATCTCTTGAAATGTCAATTGACAGTTTCAGTTAATTGGCTGGATAGAATAAGACCAGAATCCGATTCATCCTCTTCAGAAGACAAGTTACACATCAAGACGCACTTTTTATTCATTTTTACCTTTTCACTTATAATTATTTCGTTTCATTTTCCGTAACTCGAAGCTCAGATTTTTCTTTTTCCTCTTTTTTTTGTGAAGACATCGCTTTCTGTGCTTCAACTGTCTTCCAACCGAAATCCATTTGGAAGCCATCAGTCATCAAACGCTTCCAACTGTTTTCTACGTCTACAGAGACACTGTGCCCGACAAAATATTATTAATATTCCTTTCTTCTATTATTCATCACAAAAATACTTGATACTTGACTCAAATCGATCATGAATTAGGTTATAGTTAGCATGGTTAAACTGAAATAGAATATAAGAGTTGGAGAGAGGAAGAGAGAGGCAGACAGGCTAAGAGAGGAAGACCGAAAAGATGAGAGCTGTACTGTCAGTCGCAAGATGATTCCGTGAGATTAGACTGTCTGATTACAATTCTTTCATCTGAATATAGCTGACAGCTATTTTGTCATATTTGTTTCTTTTTTTTTATATTTATCTCATTAGCTAAATGTATAGTTAACAGCTTTTTTCGTTTATTCATTTCATTCTTGCAGACATCACAATGAATATCCGGCTGACGTTGATGTCAGCCGTTTTTCTGGCCAGTATGTGCCTTCTCATTTCTGCTGATTGTCCACCAAACACTTTTACTTGTAAGGATGGAACATGTATTCCAGAAGATTGGGTTGGAGATGGAGAACCAGATTGTGACGATAGGTTTGTTTCATCAGTTCTGTTTTCTTTTTTTGATTATCAATTCCATTTAAACTCTTTACGCTGTTTTTTTTTCAAAAGAAGCACTTAACATGTTCGAAATGACGTCAACTGTATTTAAGATCAGATGAAACGGGAGCAGCAGTTCATCGTCATCATACTGAAGATCCATTCGATGAAATTATTACACAATCACCGACGACTTCTCGTCCGGAAGTAATTGAGACGGATAAAAAAGAAAATGAACAGACTGAAGAGGAAAATATCCCATTGACCTCAGGTAAGATCTGTGCAGGCAGTTTGCCTCATCTATCCCTCTTTCTCTGACTCTCTCATGCTATCCATAAGATAATATGAATCTTCTTCATGGAACATCTCATCATTTCCATATAACTCTCCTGTATTCGTCTTCTTACTAATCTCCGCCGTTTGTCAGCAATCCCATATCACTTCATTTTATCAAAAATAGCCTTTGATGTCAACAAACGAATTATCGGACGACTGATGTCCAATCTCGACAATTTATTTGTCACATTCCATACTTAATTGGAATTAATTAAACCATATAATATACATTCCGATGAATTAACATATTGATTATTCAGAATCGTTGGACAGCACCAGTGGAAGTACTGTAGACAGTACTGTTGACAGTACCTTCGAAAGCCCTTCTGAGATTACTGAAAGCAGAACATCATCATCTGCAGCTACAACATCGGAACACGATTCTGCATGTCCATATGAACATCAAATTCGAATCGATGAATGCTCAGAGCCCATTCTTCTGTTCCTCCATGAAATTAATGATATTTACTTCGAGAACTCGTCTTTCTTGGCTAACAAAGAGATGTAAGAAGGAAACTTCACAGGCTCAAAGACTAATGATAAATCTTCAGGCAATCTAAAGTTGAAAAAGGATGTTCTTTGATGGAGGAATATAACATCTGTATTCAAGGAGCTTCACCTGCTTGTCAACCAGATGCGGGAGTTTTAGCATGGCGAGATGTATGTGTTAATCCTTATATGAAAGTATTTAAATTTCTCAGGTCGAAGTTTATGCCTGTCAGCTTGTACTCCCAACTGCTCGTGAGTATGAAAGCTGTTTCGGTGTTGGAAGAGATACTCAATGTTACGTTAGGTGAGCTACTGAATTTGATACATATTACCGCCTGTTTCCAGATTCGATGAAACTGCTTCACCTTTCTGTCGGCTAGTGTCTTCCATTGCTCAAGACGTCGAGTGTATTCAAAAGTAAAGAGTTATGAGCAATAAAAATGAATCCATAATTTTTTAAGATTCTCGAGCAAGTGCAGCCAAGATGCTTTGGAAATGCTCCCACCTGTTCTGGAAGAATCTGAACATATCACATCTTCTATTCGCTGCCCAGCGGTTCCAGCAACTGACACACCTGTAAGTTTTTTTATCAATGCATCAATGGAATGGTCCTATCTTCGTAAATCGTTTTTGAAATTTTTGTGGAAGGACCTAAATAGTGAAGATACATTCGTTTCTCGGTACTCCTTGTTGGGCATCCCCGTACATCGATCAAGAGTGTACTGACTAGTCAGTGCCTTTCACGGACCTGAAAGATACATGAGACGCCGTAGATGAGCTT